AAACAGAAATTTTGATACTATTCTTGTGGTTTATTGAACACAACGTTTCATTAGCAATTAGCATCATCATCATCATCACCTTATGTAATGTGATTTCCAATCTAAATTATCGCTTAAGGAAAATTGAGTTAGAAACCATTTCAGTTTACCGTGATACAAAACTCCGGTGAGATATTTCGGCATTTTTCAATTCCATGCTATCACGAACTGTGTCTTAGACCTTGACATCATTATGTGACACAAAAGTTTTCAATTAAGTAATTTGATTGGATTGTAGGTTTGTTTATACAGCCAGTCCAAGTCCTTGACAGAAAGACTGAAGAAGAATGGCAGCATGTTTAGTTACCAGTCTTATCTGCCATATCATCATATATGCTGTTTCATTACTTCTTTAATAAGATTAGGCACTTGTGATTTTTGGGTATTTAGATCTTAAGCTAGGCATAGACGACAGATTTTTGTATGTTGAAAACATTAGACAATGTTCAAAAGAAACATTGCGTATGCCGCTTTGTCACAAGGTTCAAATATAATTATATTTCATGAGATATTAAAGATTAATATCAACATTTCAGTAAGACATTTGTCTTATTCTCTATAGTATATTTAAGAATTTAAGAACGTTAAATGAAGAAACTCTTTAAAGTAAGCAGTGTAACATTCTTTGTGACCAATCATACTTAAGTCTCGGAAAGGCGATTTCTTTTGCTAAGCCAATCAGTAATAGTGATCACAGCTCATCTGTCAAAACTTAAGCCTTCAAATCCACGTTTGTCCAGAATTATCTGTGTTTTAAGATACTTTATGATTTTTAGAAAGTCATATAGAAATGGTGAGTAAAATTCCTAGTTTGAGACCATTTAAATATTTTTAAGACTCAGATCAACCCCCCAAAATGGCGCATCATGTCCCTTTCATGGGTGAATTTTAAGTTTTAAGTCATCTGGGGATTTTCTTCTACATTACAATTACTTAGATTTATTCTTGTTGATTTTCCCTTGCTAAAATCTGACATAGAATTTGACACATTTAGTCCTGATGTAAATTAGGGCAATCCTCTAACTTCATTTGAATTGGCTGCAATTCAGTTGATGGACTCTAGGGAATGGCTGGTCTCAGAATAATGTCTGTTAAATTCTATTAGAGACATAGAATATGAATAATACATTTGGAGTAATTCATCACCTTTTAACAACAGTAATGTCATCAGTACATTAGATCAATAGTTATTTTCTCAAAACGTCTTTCTTTGTTTCACCACCTTCCTTTCTAGTCTATTGATAGATTTATTCTGTAGCAGGGATGTTGTTTTAATGTTTTCATTGCCAGACAAATTAATCATCTTGCTACTTGACTGTTCAAAGATTTATTCTGTAGCAGGGATGTTGTTTAAATGTTTTCATTGACAGACAAATTAATCATCTTGCTACTTGACTGTTCCAGGATTTATTCTGTAGCTAGTTTGCTATATCAGCATCCGCTGGAAGCGAACGTTAACTTGTCATCTACCTACCTATCTATTCTGTAGCAGGGATGTTGTTTTAATGTTTTCATTGACAGACAAATTAATCATCTTGCTACTTGACTGTTCCAGGATTTATTCTGTAGCTAGTTTGCTATATCAGCATCTGCTGGAAGCGAAGGTTAACGTCATCTACCTACCTACCTATTCTGTAGCAGGGATGTTGTTTTAATGTTTTCATTGCCAGACAAATTAATCATCTTGCTACTTGACTGTTCATAGATTTATTCTGTAGCAGGGATGTTGTTTAAATGTTTTCATTGACAGACAAATTAATCATCTTGCTACTTGACTGTTCATAGATTTATTCTGTAGCAGGGATGTTGTTTAAATGTTTTCATTGCCAGACAAATTAATCATCTTGCTACTTGACTGTTTATGGAATTATGGTGTAGCAAGGATGATGTTCAATGTTTCCTAGCCAGACAATTTAATCATCTTCCTCTGTGTCTTTATGGCATTCTCCACCTATATTTAAAACAAGCCACCCTGGTGCTGGAACAATACAGAATACCGATCTCTATTATACTAGACATACTATAGAAGCATGAATAGACAAATATAACTTGACAAGATCCAGATTATATCGTTTTGTCTATTACCCTATATAGCATTACTTATCGTATCATGGCACAATTGGCAATAACCAGTACTTATCTTGATCAATGGTAGAGGGGATTTTGAAGTCATGAAATCTTCAGGCTATGCAGAAAGCCACCTTGGTTTTACAAGTTCATGTACAGCCATGACAAAAGCCCTGTTCTATAAAGTAAATGATGATTCTACTTGTCCTTTCGTAAAACAAAGTTTCAAATCAGTGTACAGATCTCTAGAGATTTAGTTCTTCTATAAATTCTATTTCAGTAAGACATTAAATCAAGAATTGATTTGATATTATCACAGTTAATCTAGCGTATTGTACATGAATATTTCAGAGGAAAGACAAATAACTTGTCTACAGGGGGATGACCCCCCTTCACCTAGAAAATAATTTACCCTGACTTTTGCCTCTTTCTACTTTCATACGTTGTATCATTTTTTATCAGAGCTGCCCTTGAAAATTCATTTTTGAAAAAAAAACATCTGAGACTACCTTTTCAACAATCTTTATAAAATGTTGGAAAAAAATATTTAAAAATAATAGAATTAAGATATTGTAGAAAGAAGAGTAATTAAATCCGGCCCACCATGAGTTATTAGACTATCTGTTTTTTACTATATTACGTGCTAAATATTTCTTTATATAGAAATAACATGCGACAAGGTGATACAAGATTGACAAGATATAATGGAAAGGGTGGTTGTGAGTGACGTAGACATCAATTTGGAGGGTATCACTTGTATGATTTACTCTCATCTTATTGATCCTGAACTCACTGTCTCTATGTTAGACCTCACTATTACTATTAAATAAGGAACTTGAATTCATTGTCTATATTGGACATTATAACAATTTATTTAAAGGAAAACTGTCACCATGTTAATTTTTCTTGTACTGTTTCTTAACTTTTCTTTCAGCCTAATTGAAATTATATCAAACTTTCTTACATACTTTGATTAACTTTTATTTTTAATATAGCCACCTCAGTTAAGGTCTAAATACTGGCCTCTTGAACATTTGTCCCAATAACCTTTTGATCTGACCTTTAACTAATCAAATTCCTTCACTCTAACAAAATCCCAGAGGTGGAGAGGGCAGAAATTTGTTAAAAGCAGGGTCATTAAATCAAAATTTGGCCTAGTTTTAATTATGTATACAGACTTTTCATTGATAAAACATTTATACAAGGACTTTATATTCATTGCCTTTTTTTAAACTTAAACACTTTATTAAAGGAGAGCTGCATATTCTCATCTGGAAGAATTCTAAAGTAGTGCCAATGTTGGATAAAAAACTTGAAGGTTAGATCTTTACCCTAGTGCTCTAGGGATCAAGAATTCCTATCAGAAAAGGTTGCTTTAATGCCAAAAGAAAAGAGCAATTTTTAAAAGTTCATTCAAGTGTTTGACAAGAATTGATATCTTTTTAATTTATACTTTCATAGACTAGTGTTTCTAAAAATATATGAATACATACTGTACATTTTTGTTAATTTAAATTTCTAGACAATCGTCCATTAAAGGGGTTTTCTAGAATTTTTATGCTTATCTGGGACACTGATAGCAACAATTTGCACCATTCCAATTTGGAGTCAGATGTCTGTCGTTCCTGCAATTTCACTAAAACTAATTGTCTCATGATGTCACTAATCATGAAAATTGCTTGTATCATATTATAAAGCCTTTCACGTTTAGTGATTTCATCAAATACTTTTTTTGTTTTAGTAGAATTGCAGGAACCACTGATGTCTGATTAAAAATTGGAATAAAGCAAATTGATGCTATCAGTGTTCTCGATACACATTAATTTTTTTATAAAACCTCTTTACAACCTCTTTAAAACAAGTTTATTCAAAGTTATAGACAATAAACAGTTTCAAACCAAAATTGACTTCCTGGATTTATATTAACTCTTTGTTTTGTCTTTTCTTAATGAAACAAACTATCTCATCCATAAAATTCCTGTTTTAGAATTGATTATTTACTTTGAATTGATCTTTATCAATAATTGAGTGAAATTGTCTTTCTACTAAATAATTATTATTAGTCTGTAACTTCTTTATCAGTTTATCTTAAAACTGATTAAATTGCTACAATAAGATCAATTCTTATCTTAATAACGAAAAAAAAATACTGTTTTATTCCTGAAAATTGTACTTTATTCACCTTTCTCAGTTAACAAAGAGCCAAAACTTTGTAATTTGTTAAGAATAAAAAAAAACAAGTTCTAACGATCCGCACCACAAACCCGAAACCGGAAACCGGAAACCAAAAATCCGAAACAACATATTGGCAATACTTTGATGCAGCAAATGAAATTTAAACAAGGAAGTATATCACTCATAGATAATATTTCATTATGAAAAGGTGTTAGGTGTTTAGAATTGCACCACACCTTCCAAATGTCAAAATATGAATTGCATGTTATTAAACAGTTATTATTTTCTCAAAATGTGCTGTAACCACAGAAGAATATCTGTAAAAAATAGTAACCAATAAATATGTTAATGAGCATTACAAATTGTTATCATAGTAATATGGATTTTTTCTTTAATGTATTCAAATTTATGCCTATTACCAAGCATATATTTACATCGTTTGGCCATATATATATATATATATATATATTTACTGATGTTTTACCTTTATACCAGCACTTTTATTTCCTCATTAGAAACAACAGACTCAGTGAGTTTGACGATTGCTTGCTAACTTGAGGGTCCAGGGTTTGGCATTGGTCGAGATATACCTTTGGACATTTCAATAAGGTTTGCCCATGTCAGTGATGCAGATTTGATGTGACTACATGGAAAATCCAATTTGGTGCAGAAGAGTGGGACACAAAAAAAATGTTTCAATTCAAATTAACACACAGCTAATGATTATTATTGTATATTTTCAGATGGATGCTCTAATTCAAGAAATGCAGAACGCAACAACTGGTGTTCCTATCAAATGTCAGAAAACATTTTTATCTACAATACCATCAGTATTTACAGGTAAGTACTTTATCTTTACACCATCAGTAATTACAGGTTAGTTCTTTATATTTACACCATCAGTATTTACAGGTAAGTTCTTTATCTTTACACCATCAGTATTTACAGGTAAGTTCTTTATCTTTACACCATCAGTAATTACAGGTAAGTACTTTATCTTTACACCATCAGTAATTACAGGTAAGTTCTTTATATTTACACCATCAGTATTTACAGGTTAGTTCTTTATATTTACACCATCAGTATTTACAGGTTAGTTCTTTATCTTTACACCATCAGTATTTACAGGTAAGTACTTTATCTTTACACCATCAGTAATTACAGGTTAGTTCTTTATATTTACACCATCAGTATTTACAGGTTAGTTCTTTATATTTACACCATCAGTATTTACAGGTAAGTTCTTTATCTTTACACCATCAGTAATTACAGGTTAGTTCTTTATATTTACACCATCAGTATTTACAGGTTAGTTCTTTATATTTACACCATCAGTATTTACAGGTAAGTTCTTTATCTTTACACCATCAGTATTTACAGGTTAGTTCTTTATCTTTACACCATCAGTATTTACAGGTAAGTTCTTTATCTTTACACCATCAGTATTTACAGGTAAGTTCTTTATCTTTACGCCATCAGTATTTACAGGTTAGTTCTTTATCTTTATACCATCAGTATTTAGAGGTTAGTTCTTTATCTTTACACCATCAGTATTTACAGGTTAGTTCTTTATCTTTATACCATCAGTATTTAGAGGTTAGTTCTTTATCTTTACACCATTAGTATTTACAAGTTAGTTCTTTTTAGTTTACCCTACTCCTTGTCCTTGTTTAATATTGGAATTTTATGTCTCCATTACCAATTTAACTTAAACTTATGGCTGGGAGGTATTGTTTGATATTACAATATTTATCTGTAATATATCACAGTATGGGTATAAAAACGTGACTGAACAAGATAATTTATCCCAAGGTGCATATAAAAACATGCAATGTAAATTGTAGTAAGGTATGCAAATGATATCAAGCTAACCAATTGATGAATTCAACTGATAAAATTGTTATGTTTTTACAGGTTTTGATGTGGTTAACTGGCTGAAAAAGAGATTAAATATAGACGAAAATGACTCAAACGAAGCCGCACATATCGCTAATTTATTATGTAAATTTGGATATTTTTTCCCTGTTTATGAAAGTAAAGTTATTGTTGTTAAAGAAGATACATCATTATACAGATTCCAGGTAAGCTTTGCTCTGAAGGAACCACAATGTTCCCTTACCTGATTTTTCAACTCTGTTTCCCCTATTGATGAAGCAGGTCTGACATGGATAAAGCCTAAAGTTTAGATGAAACAATCTATGGAGGCCTTGTGTGCTTCACGATGAGCATGTTAAAGATCCTTCGACAGTTGAAAATCAAAAGAGTTTGGGCTGATGCTGTTGTCATGGAAAACTTTCCCTCATTTCATACTGCTTGGCATTTTCTGCTTCATTAACCCTATCAAGTGTAGAAAAAGCAGATGGAAAACTTCCTTTAATTTTGTTTCTAATTAGTATAAGCTTATATTGTCTTATTGATGTGTTTTTTTCAGTGTCCATATTATTGGCCATCACAAGCTGTGGAACCTAATAATGTTGCTTATGGTGAGCTACCATTCAATTTCTTTCTAGTATTAATACATTGTGTGCTTACTTTAATTCTTGAGACTCTTCTGGAAAATATGGCCGAATGGACAGCCCTGGTGTAGTCATTGAAAGAAGTAAAATGTTCAAGGAATACATTAATATCTTATGAGGATGAAATTTTTTCAAATTCCATACAAAACCTCTTTAAATAATCCTTCTCTGAACCCTTTAATACATTGATAGACCTGAATTTTGATGTATAATGACTTCATTGAATTCATAGATTTAGTGCCCAAATCATGGCAGCAATTTTTCTTTCATAACCATTATGATATTAGACTTTAATGATATTCAGAAGTGAGGATAATCACAAGACAATATTATGGATAAGCACACTTCCTAACACTCTTGATTTCATGTTAAAGAAGTGTGTTTATTCCATAATATTGTCTTGTGTTAGTGAACCATTATGATGCCAGAATGGAAAAAGCATCTAGTAGATGGAACAATAAACTTGCTACAGGCTGTGCACATTAAAGATCCCTTGACAATTGGAAATCGAAAAAGAGCAGGCTAATGCTGCTGTCCTGGAAAAATTTCCCTCATTGCACCCTGCATGGCGTTGCCCGTCTTCATTAGCCCATATGGTGCAGAAAAGTAGGACGTAAAACTCCATTCATTTCATTTCATTTTGATGCCAGAAGCTACTCAGTTGATTTTAGATATTCCTACATTGAAAGTATTTTTTTTATTTACTTGTTTACAGCAATCCATTTAGCCAAAAGATCTATGCGAAATAAACAGAAACATGGTTTAGAAGATTATGAACAGGTAAAAGATTGGGATTAAGCCGGCTGTTTATCTATAGGCTACATTTTAATTCAGAAATGCAATTGATTTTGGGATAAGGCTGTTACTCTGTCATTTTGAAACTATAATAAGTTAAAGAATTGTACTGAATATTTTATTTCATGTTATTAATTAGAATTATGAATCAATAAAAATCATTGGTGTATAATATATTTAATATACATGAATGTTATGAGTAACAGATGTTACAATATATAATATTAATCTACTAGTTTGTTCATTCATCTGATGAATTGTGATGTAATAGTTTTTAATATTCAGTAAAATTTCTCCATACTGAGACATAATTATAAACATGATATAGGCTAGAACATTCAACAATTTTAGGGGAGTAAGATTGGCTTAAGGTTCAGGGTTTTATCCCAGCATATGTCAATTTTCCTAACCTTGTTTCCCCCCGTAGGTGAATCAGGCTTAAGGGACTGCCATGGAAAAAGTGTAGTCGTTCAGATGCGACTACAGGCAGTACACGTTAAAGATCCCTTGACAGTTTGAAATTGAAACTGCTGTGTTGGCAAAATTTTCCTCATTGTGCATTACATAGTATTGTCTGTCTTCAGTAGCCCATAAAGAGTAGTAGGACGTAACAATCAATTTATTTCATTTTAACTCAGTGTTCAAATGTTAATGCCCAAAATACTTTGATCCTGTGCAACTAAGTGCTCCCTTCCCTTAACATCTAAAAGACCTGATAACACCAAAACAAATACTCTTTAAACATAATTTATCATATGATTACAGACTGCTTTAACCAAGTTACAGAAGATGTTATGTGATAAATGGAAGTTTATATGTGATCAGGCTCAAGAGCAAGTCTCGCTGGCCAAGGAGAGGCGTAGAACTGATAAAGCTATATTAGACAGTCAGGAACGAGCTTTTTGGAAAGTTCATAGACCACCTGTAAGTTTAAACCCCATACTCAGGGCCGTATGCAGCGCTCTTACCTTGACTAAAGTTGAACTGTGGCTAAAGTCGAACTTTACAAAGTTAGGATTAAGGCTTTCATTTTTTACATTTGATAGTCAAATTTAAGCACGACTTTCGTAAAGATCGATCGGTGCATACCTAAAGTTCGACTTAAGTCTAACTTTAGTCAAAGTTTAAGTACAGTACAAGCGCTGCATATGGCCCTAATACTTTTGCTAATCGTAAAGTGTTTTACATTATGGTAAGGTTTAGAATGGTGCAAAATAAAATTGTAGATTTACCCACTTGATATTGTTTGAAAACCTCTCAACATATCTTAAAATTGAAGAACTCTGCAAAGTGCTAAGGTGTCCATTTTTAGATTATCTGGAGCAGAGCCAGTTATACTCAAACGCCTTCAAGTCCAAAAGTAAAGGACCAAAATATTCAGGTGCCAAATTAGTCTCCTGCTATTGATTCATAATTCTTCATAATCCAATATCTTATTCTTACATTAGAAGGGAAACAACTCTATCATCTGTATATTTTAAGTGCCTGTCCATTCTTATATTATCGGTTGTCTATGAGATGTACAAAGCCATACATACTCAAGTTCCAAATAGCATAAAAGTATAACGCCTAAATTTTTAATGATCTGATAAGTTATTCTTACATAAGAAGTGAAATAACTCTTTCATCTGTATATATATTTTTAGCCTGGTCAAACAAAATATGTGGAAGATGGACCCAAGAGAAATTTTCAACCCAGTCAAATGGCTGCAAGAAAAAGAAAGAATCGAGATCTATTGCAAAAAGAGGTATTGAAATTCCTTGTAGTCCAGAGATCTTATTATTAAAAACTTAACTCAAGAGTTTCTATTATCTGATCAATCAAAAAAATTGACTTAGAAATAAGTTTTATTAGCCATCAGGGGCCTTATTCTCCAAATCTTAAATTAAATAACCAGATTTGAAGAAATACAGTAATCAGGTTACTGGAACTCTTAAATCATATTAATTTAAGCTTTCAAAAATAAGGCCTCAGATTAATGTTTGCCTTAAATAAGCTTGATTGTATTTGCCAGCCATGACTGATAGAAAGTCCCAAACTTTGGCTTTGACTTTGTCGTAATTTGAAAATGTGTATTCCATGGTAGATAACTCTTTGGTTAAATTCTAAACCTGAAATATCCCTGTTTTATCTATACATAGCATCACTAGGTCGATCTTAATTAAAAATCAGTTAGGCTTTTCTACTTGACCTCTCTAATTAGTTCTCATGGTTAAAAATTATTTTTCTTTAATTTGATGCAGGTTATCCATTGGCGGAATGCTATTAACCGATGTCGTATGAAAACTTCCACTGCCATAGAAAGGTAAGTCAAAGATATTTTTATGACTTTTTTTTAAGTTTTCAGGGTTTGAAAATTCTCTGAGCCCTCATCTCTACTTTCCAAAATTTATCCACAAATTTGGTTTAGTAGTGTAGGATGAGACTTATATTATAGATAAAGTATATGTTTATCCATTATTCCATTTATGATCAATGACATCCTTTTATGCTGTCCAATTTTTTTTCGTTTTTATTAAAAATCGGATGAAATACTAGCAACAATTTTAAAAAGGGCAATTTCTTTATTGCTTTTTTTAAATTTTGATATTAGTAAGGTGAATAAACTTCTAAATTTCTTTCAGTTATTTAAGTCGATTGGAACAATTTGAAGACAACGATCCTTTTATTGCTGGAGTACAGCCCTCTAATCCATGGATAACTGAAGATACGACATATTTTGATATGAACAGTGATACGTAAGTTTATTTTGTTAACTTAAATATTTATTCATTAATTCCATATATGATTTATAAAACCTTTCAGTCCTATCTCGGCTTAGGTCAGCTCCCAGTCTAGAAGCTACCTCTATATTCATTCTGTAGCTTTCTATAACAATAACTGGTAAGAATAGATCCTATCATGGTTATTTCCCTTTAGTTGCAAGTGTTAGTATCTGAATATTGTAAAATGTATGAATGTATGTACCTTAATGAGTAATTCGTGAGAAAAAAAAAAGTCATCTTGTCTTTTTACATTACATAATAAATTCTGTCTGATAACTTAAAAATAAATAAATAGAATCTTATGGTATATTTCTCCTGCGTGCTTATTCTCAAAACGATTTTAGCGCTTGGATGTGCTACTCTCTGTCCTAGGTTCTTATCTTCTAATATTGATTCTAGGACATCCTAGCGCTAAGATTGTTTCGAGAATACATGGCCAGACTTTCCTTGCACATGTAGAACAGGTGACCCTTTAATGCTTTATTATTATCTGATATCTTTTCCCTGAAAGCTTGAAAAATTGTAGCATTTAAAACACGTAGTAGAACAACCATCCAGTATATATCTCAACAATTTAAATTTTACTCTGTTTAAAAATATTTTGACATGAAAAACAAGTCTAGGTTATATTTTTGTTGTTTGAAAATACACTAAACTAAAATATACCAATACACCAGTATAATAGTATCTTTTGTATTCTTATAATACCAAATCAATTAGCTATTTCACAAGACTTGAAATTGGCAATAATGTGAATGCTGTAATAAATTAGAAAATTACCACAGCATTAGTCATGTAGATTTTCTCCATAAAAGGATATAGATAGGTGTTCTAGGTGGGACAGTAATAATTTTACTAGAGCTTGATGCCACTTTGAAACTTGCATCCCTTTTGGAGAGTCCACATAGCTTATATTTGATACTTTAATAAAATGAATATTGAATATAGAACAATTGTTTGCCATCAGAGTTGCTTTCAGGCATGTTAAAACATTGGAATGTGAATACCAATTAAAAGAATTTAACATAATGATTGAAATACCAATATTGTAATGATTCTAAGTGCAGATAACTTGATTGTCAATAGAAATTAAATAGTTATTAAAAGGCGTAATAGTTTCATAATAATGAATTATATGTATATTCCAAATACAATATATTGACATTAATGCTTGCCAATTTTATATGCCCACAGAACTGTTATTGAATATAAGTTCGTACAAGCAAGACAATTTAGTAAATCAAAATCTCATCCAAAGTATGACAAAATCAGAAGTAAAGTTGTATAGTAGTGTCAGGTGTTTCGAAAAGAGTAAACATGGTCTGATTTGAGAGTCATGGTTGATGGAAAAGTAGATTGCATTTGAATATGTTTTGGGGGTGGATCATGGTGTGGTGGGGGTCAGTGCCTCCTCCTGTAACCCTGAGAAAATTATATATCTGGGCAAACATCAACTATTCATGTTCCAAGTAGGTATTTGGAATGGTACAATAGAGGTATGTAGGTAGATGACAAGTTAACATTCGCTTCCAGCGGATGCTGATATCGCAAACTAGGTAGTTGTTGGTAGTCATGGTAGTTAGTAGTTGGATGGTACAATAGAGGAACTATATTACATATATACTGATAATTAAGTTATTAATTATATAAGGTTCATTAGTAGGAATTGATGTTGACATTCAGCCAGCATCCACCAGATGGCTTTAATTACCGTATATACCAATCAGTATGCCACGACATTTCATTAACTCAATTGACTTTTGGCATCAATATCTTTTCTTCACTATAATTAATACCAAATTTGGAATCCATATAGAATCAGTACTTACTTATATCATATTAGCTAATGTTGGTCACAGAATTCAAGGGATGTAACCCTTTTATTTTCCATTTTAACATCATATTGATCTGAGGGGGTTTTCTGAACAAAAATGTCAAAAATTTATATTTATTGCTTCATTTATTAATTGTTGATATTTGTAGTCGAGATTAATTTGCAGGATTTCCAAAAAAAATGTCAAAAATTAATTTTCATTGTTCCATTTATGAAATTATAGTATTTATAATGGTATTTGTGATAAAGTTTTGCTGAATGTTGGAATTTCTGGTCTGTTATCCTTTATATTAAGTTATGTTCATTTTCTCTGTTATTATTGTTATGCTATTAGGGACCTAAAAGGCTATCTGGATGTACATCAGTTAATTAGAAGTCTATATTCCTTTAAAGATTAAGCCAGTTTCATTTTCCTGAGTGTAATCTATTCAGAAATGACTTGATCTGGTTCTCTTCAGACCTATATGAACTTCTTTTGATAAATTAAATTGGAATCGATTTTTCATATATTTTCTGTACTTGTATTCAAGGTTCAATATATCTTATTTGTATTAAATGAAATGATGATGTTATTCTCCTAAAACACCTAGGAATCAACAAGTTTATTTCAAAGTGCTTTAAAATTATTATGTGCAATGAAAATAACAGTTGACTCATCCTTACATTCTTTGATTGTTATCACGTCAGGCATGCATATTGAAAATGTAAACTTTTATTATTGTGAAGAACTAATCATTCTCATCAACAACTGGCATCGTATTCCATCTTGAATGATTCAGAATAGATATTGGATGCACCTAGACATTTGTGGCTTTTGAATTTGTGGTTTGAACTTGATTACTAAAAGTATTCTTAACATTCCATTTATAATTAGTTTGGAATAATTGTTTTCCATGCAAGTATATCTATTTAGATATATAGAATAAATATTTTTACTGTGTTTAAGTAGGTCAAAATTTGAATTAATTTGGTTTAAAATTTTAAAAAATGAGTTTATTGGTAAATTAGGAAAGAATCAATCACTAAAAGTTGGAGATAAAACTGACATATTTCTTGACTGTGATCAATATATATGAGTTATATCATTGGCTGGTATCGTTAATAAGTGTATATTTGTGTAATTATATGAAAATTTTATTTGATTTTCTGGAATGTTACATGATGAAGTGGATGTTATAACAGGAAATCTGATCAAAAATCTATAATCTTCCATCACTCATAATTTCAAGTATTTGTCGTTCTCTGTGTAGATTGTTGATCGTGTTAAAAGACCAATATTTGGAGAGAATGGTTTTCGCCGGAAGTCAATTCATGTATATTGGAGAAAGTTATTGATAGCTGGCACTTCAAATAAACCTGCTTGCTAATCAAACATGTTAAAAGACGTCATTGTATCTAGACATCGTGGTTTATGAGGATATTTACCGTGTGAATTTAGACTTTGAAGTTTGTGTTATATGTATTGAAATAATAAAGTGAAAGTAGAGGTATAATAAGAATGATATAAGAATCAATGAAGTTAGATTTAATATATTGGCTGATTGATATTAAAGATGGTCAAAGAACACAATATGATGCCAGTTTGCTGCTCTGGGTAAAGTTTATTCTTCATTATGTTTGTTTTGTTGACTTGATCATGACTTGATCATGACTTGATCATGACTTCTTAACTGGTCAAAATATCTTTATTTTAATCCTTTGAACTCTGAGTTTGAATCACAAAAAGATGTGGCTGTAGAGCAGTCACTGTTGTTGTAATTGTTAAAGGGATTCAAATTCAAAAGAGTCTTTTGTAGCATTTGTATGTGTACTGAAAATTCAGACGGATAAAGATTTGGAATAATGCAAATAAAATCTATAAAATAGCCTGGTACTCATTCAAAGATTCTGGAATGGAATTCTTGTACTGGGTAAAGTTTCAAGCATTTTGTATATTTTTTGAGGAGTTGACATTGGAAAACTTGTCATTTATCATTATGTTGAAGTTGACATCTTCATTGCGAAAGCTCTTGAGAAGTTGCTTCCGCATGGATGTACTAAATTGTTTATGTGTATCAGGGACACTGATGGCATCAATTTGCATCATTCCAATTTTCAATCAGACATCTGTGGTTCTTCGAAATTCCACAAAAATTGTTTAATGATGTCACTAATTGCAAAATATACTTCACATATCACATGAGGCCATTGCAATTAGTGAATTCATCAAACACTTAGTAAACTAATGTCACAATGAATTATTTTAAAAGTAATTTCTTTGACATTTGAACAGACTTTTTTTTGAAAATTAATTTAAATAGAAACTGGATTGATGATATATTGTGAAACTGTTGCTCATCATCCTGCAGTGATTAATGATTCATATGATTAGATACCTTTTACAAATACAAGATGTCTTGCTATGGAATATGCCAGATATTCCACGATCACTCTCAATTTGTCTAAGGACTGCTGTAGACCACTGACATGAGTGCACAGATTACAATTGCAAACCCGAATTGATATATTTTGATAATATAATTTTAGATGATAATGAAACTCATCAGAACGGTATAGAAATATTGATATTTGAAATAAGTTAGTCAAAGTGTAAAATGATACTGGTTTATGTTTCTGAGAATCAAGCAAAGTGAAATTCTGAGTTTTTGGGGTTTTTATCTCTGATGTTCTGAGTGCAGTTAGAGAAAGTATGCTGAAACATTGTCATCAATTTATAAGCATCAACATCCAGGAACTGTAGCCCAAGAGGTATTGCACATTTGCATAATTACGGACTGAGTTGGAAAAAGGGTTTATTGGTTTGGTTGGGACAATAAACTGAGGTCGCATGTACCACAGGGAGTGTACACTAAAGTTCAGATGGAACACTTAACCAAGGCTGTGTGTATTACAGGCTGTTTACATTAAAGGTCTTCTGACAAGTTGGACATTATCTCACTGCACACTGCATGGCTAACCCAATCAGGTGCAGAAAAGCAGGATGTAAAACTTCATTTAATTTCTAGTGTAAAATGTCTTGTAAATGTCGTCTTGATTAACAATCTCTGTCATCCTCTTTATATAGATTGATCAGATACCATAACATTCACAGTACATCTATTATTCATTAATATTAAAATACCGGACTCTTTTACACTGGAAAATCTATAGGTAATGCCTGTGACAATATAGTTTGATATATCAAAAAGATTTGATATACCTAGATAAGAAAAAGATAAACTACTAATTAAATACGTTTCTTTTCGTATTAGTAATTTATTTTATTTGTAAAAGGTTGGTTAATTGACAACAAATTTTTTATGCTGATAATATCAGAGTCGACAAATCAGCCAGTGTTGGTCCTAAATCCATTTCATTTACTTCTGTTGGCATATATCTTTGTGCTTGGCATAGTTAATTTTGAATAACAAAGCCTTCATTAATGGATTATTTGGTTTGATGTTGAAGTTTATATTGACACATATTTTCATATAGAATTAAATTCATTGCTCATTATTCATGGCTGCATTCTACTTACACATTTTATTGTTCAAATCTTCCTTGTTGATTCACCAAATATAGCAGGAAATGGTTTAGTGCAGGACATACATAGGACATAATGTCAGAGGTTGTTAACTCTACAATTATTGGATAGTTTATTTGATTTAGAAAATGATTAAAATAGATAGTACCCTCGGTAAAAAGTTGTATGTTGAAAACTTCTATATTTTAAAGGGAGTATAAAGATTTTTTTTTCATGGGCATTGGTTGCATTGATTTCCAATTTTCAGTCAGACGTCTGTGGGTTTTCTTATTCCACTAAATCTAAGTATTTCATATCACTATTAGCAGCTGTTGTGATAGCGAAATTTCAAAATGTTCAGTTTTAGTGGAATTGGAAATATATATTAAATTGAAATTATTACTGCTTTTAACCCTTTGATCACTGAGTGAATAATATAGTACATGATATACTCTAAAAAATATGCAGGTATTATCTCTATCTCTGAAGCTGTAGAAAAGGTTTTAGGTTTGGAATTAAAATATTATACAGAATTCATAACCTTTTGACAACATTCTATCTAGCTACCAGCTGGTACATAGCATTTGAAGTAAAAAAAAAATCAATAATTAACTTAACTAATAAGATTATGGATTAATTAATACTTGGTTTAATTAGAACTAATTTTACACTTGATTGAATTTTTTAATCTTGGTTCAATAATTTCCTGTTTTTCTAAGATAAATCCTAATTCCTGTGATGTAGGGTTTATTCCAATCGGAAGAAAGGTTGTTATTGAAGTGGAAAAGTTTCATGTTAGTTTCTAGATGAGATATATCTGTAGATTTATGAGCATATTGTAAGTCATCTTACAAACATTTCATGTTGCAAGTGGGCGTAGCAGGTGTTATCCACTATCTGTTGCCTAAAGTTTGTAGCAAAATGTCTATTGTAATGTTTATTTAGAATTAACTCAAAGTAACTCTCTGTCTCACAACAAGCCCCAGACTTATCACTCTGAAATGTAATACCCAATTTTTGAAAATTAATTATATCAGATGGTTAATAAAATGATTAGATGAGTCTCATCATGAGGTCAAGGATATGTGTTACATAACATGTCCTAATAAAAACAACCTATTTGTTCTGAGTTTCAAATACATGAGGCTTAGCTCATACATACACCATTCAATGTAATAATGAATAGTCCACTTCTAATAGTCTAATAGTCTAATCTCTAATTTTTTTTTTTAGCAATAATATCTGCATGTATGGTTGTTAATAATGCCATGGATATTAATATTGTCAAGACTTCCATTTGTTTTTATGCAATTGTAGATGAATGACATTTGATTTACATTCTGAATAGAGATACAGATACAGATCAACCTATATATAGAAATATTCATACAATTATATTGGTTAAAGCATCAGAAGTTTTTCATTTTAAACAAGATCACCAAAGTTTATTTTTGATATTTCAGTATTGAAATCCCAACTGAACAAAGAATCAAGAAATGGTCTGTGAGTTTTCACGAGTTGTTATCCGATCCTATTGGTTTACAAGAATTTGAGAATTTTTTAAAGAAGGAATACAGTCAGGAGAATATAAGATTCTGGGCAGCTTGTGAACAGTTAAAGTTTTGTCCTGTCTCTGATATACCTTCTAGAGTGGAGAGAATATATGAGTAAGTCAGATTTTGACTAAAAGAGGAAATAAATGATATAATGTATATATTTTTTCAACCCTACTTTTGTGACAAAATGAAGTGAGAATTGTACATTTCTATACCATATTAGTCTAATATGAAGAATCTTAAAGACCACAGCTTTCGTCCTTTGCAACAAATTGGTGAACCTTCACGAGGACAAAAAGCTTTTGCCAATTTCGAAATAGGACTCTTCACATTGAGCCTTAAGCCTAGCATTGCACAATAATGAATTTAATTACGTTGTGTTCTATACCTACTCTAGATGGAAATTTACTTTTTCTATTATAATAAGATAATACATAGTAAACATTACTTCTAGTGTTACATAACATGTGAAAATAACATTATTTATCACACAGTGTTATTAACACATATTGAATAGATATACCTGGGAATATATAATTGCTACATTGTATCATTGTTTATCTTTCAGAGAGTTCTTAACCAGTGGTTCCTCGCATGAAGTTAACATCGATAGCAAAACAATGGAAAGTGTTCAAATAAATCGAAAATCCGCAAAACCAAGCAGGTAAAACCTTTGGTCTATTTATCCCAAAGAAATTACACGACCACATTATTATCATTTGATAAGAAAAAAAAATTCAGTAATACAGTAGGATCAGGTTTGATTTTCGGAAAAGCATAGTTAAAGATAATTTTAGTGTTCCAAATACCCTCTTAGATATTACCAAATTTGATTTTGAATTTAGTTCTATCAAGAATCCAAAATATACCTTAAAAGTTTGATTTAATTTTATCATTTGCCATTCCTGGTTCCAGGTTTTCTAAAAGCTCTTTTGCATTAATAATTACATTATAGATCAAATTTGAATATATTGTAAGAATTTAGACAGCTTAAAGCTTAATGCTTCTGCCTTGACAAACAATCTCCAAGATAGTAATTGTAGTTGTCATGCCTTAAGTACAAATATCATAAATGAATTCATTGGACTCGTATTATTCTGATAACTGAACGCTTTTTACTGTGTACTGTTTGCTTGCCTTTGCCAAAAACACAGTGTTAATATAACAGAGTTTGGTATAGTGCATTGAGACGAGTCTCAATGAAAGCACTGGCCTTGGTCACAGTATAGTTTTAGTACTAATTAGAAACTAAGAATTAAAATTTAAGGGAGAGCACGCCCTGTATTTGAAAGGATATTTGAGGATAATCAATAAAATAAGAAGAGTATAATGAATTAATAAATAATAGGGATGTATAATATATAATATGTGTTATAATAACAGTTGTATTTTAATGAGTTGAGCAATATTGATTAATTCTATAGTTAATTCTACTATATAAATAACAATTTCTTTCTCTAGATTTTATTTCTATTGATTCATTTTATCATCAACTTACAGAAATTTCTTCAAAACATAAAACATGAACTACCAATATTGTTATATTAAACTATATTTAGATTTGAAGTTGCAAAATACCATACATACTGTATTCATTCTAATTTTATGACGTCAGTAATACCGAAGGGCTTTATGTGATAAAGCATATTTTGCAATTAGTGACGTCATCAAACACTCAGGTTTAGTGGAATTGCAGAAACCACAGATGTCTGATTGAAAATTTGAATGGTGCAAATTGAAATCATTGTCCCTGATTCACATAAAAATTATGAAAACCTCTTTACAATCCCTGACATGTTATGTTTGAATATTATTAAATCTGACTTTTTTAGATTTACATTTGAAGCTGCAAAAGAACATATATATACATTGATGAAAAAAGATAGTTATCCCAGATTTTTACGATCAGACCATTATAAAACACTGCTGTCTAATGCTCTTACACCTTTCTCAAAGAAAAAGTAAGTATTCATAATAATTAGGGCTAGTTAGATGGTTCCTTACCTTTTGACCCCTTTGTACCACTTTTATGCATCATTTTTTGGTACTCCTTTCTCACTTGAAGAATCAAATGGCATAATTGAAGCTAACAAGGAATTCATTGTATTGGATAAGGGTCAAGAAATTAACTGAAAACCATAGAATTTTTACTTTCCTGTTTACTTTCAGCTTCTTTAACCATTCCCATCTTCATTAGCCCAATCAGATATATTTACAAGCTAATAATTATGGTTTTGTCCATTTCTAGAATCATTTCAACCCTTTCAATATTGATTATCTGTCTTACAGATTTTTTAACTTTGGATCAAGTAGAAAGAAGTTGAATTTAACACCGAGTCCCCAACCTAAGAGAAGAAGTAGTGAGGGGAAAGATGGTTTTGAGAATAATTCTATAGCACACCATTCATTTAGTACTGGTAATCTACGTGAATTAGATGATAGAACCGTTGTTTTCAGGTAGATCATTGTTTATATTGTAACATATTTCTATTACCCAGTGGGGACAAAGATGGGCTAATGCCCCCTTAGTAAATTGGCTCGCACCCCCAATTGTACCCCCACTTTATTTTCAACAAATCTAAATGTTTACCTTTTTTCTCCAAAATATGTGTCAGAATGCACAAAATCAATTCATTTCTTCTAAAAATTATCTTGAGAGAACCGTCTAAGACGCTCTATGAGAGGCTTGCGACTATGACACCACCACAGAGTAGCCACAATTTGAATTCAGCCTCAGCAGTTGTCCCCCCCCCCCCCCCCCCCCATTGAGTCAGTCTTCCCATTATTTATACCCCCAGTGTCGGAAGGCTGGTTCCGCCACTTTTATTACCCCTTTGATACCTACAAAGTTTTTAAATAGATCATTACCTTAGCCGTGACAGCCATTAGTTTATCAGATTCATCTTGGGATAGGTAAGTCATGTCATCCAAATATCTTTGACTTTTTGGTTAAGATGTTGATCAAGCACTCAAAATAAGCTTATATTTGAACTGATTTTTTATACAAATTTTTTATTTATCTTAGAAGAAGTAATGGTTCAGATACAAGTTTACCAAGATGGTATGTACCAATAATAGAAATAATATTTTATTTAAGCCTTTCAATACTAACTTGGAGCTCCACCCACCGGCTAGTTATGTCTTATAATATCTTAGCGGGTGTTACCAAGTGACGTCACAAAATGTTAACATTATAGCATAGATTTATTGAGGCAAGGACAGGACAGCACTATATAAGTCATAGGTATAGAATTTAAGGGACAGATGCGCCATTTTGGGGTTGATATTAGTCTTGAATATATGTAAATAGTCTTTAGAAGTACTAGAAATGTACAAAAAACAGAAATTTTGTTGTAAATGGCATCTTTTGAATGTACTTACTTTTGTTTTATTTCAGTGAATCTCCCGCAATGTCTCACAGAACAACCTCGGCATTATCAGCAAGAATCGACAGTCCTAGACGCAGTAAATTAGAGGTACCCAAACATGTATCAGTCAATCTCAGTGATGGCAAATCAGAGGGAACAACATGTTTAGCTTTAACAGTACCAAGTAAAACTAACGTCGTAGCACCATGGGAGGGACCAGATTAGAGTTATATGTAACTAAAGAATGTGGATTCTACTAATCTACTGTCTCCTTACTTTGTCGGTAAATCAAACTTTAATGATTTTTTTTAGCGTATTTGAATATATGCTTCAGAACACACACAGTACTAAAACTGAACTTCATTAGTGCAAATTCATTCTAGACTACAATTTCGAAGCTGATATTCCAATGCACATAAACGTAATCAGCAATTTGATTTTCCAACAAAATAACAAAGACAGTAGTTTGTTTTGAACTTAAAGTAAACACTAGCTAGCTATATAATAACAGACAGTTTATATATCACAGTAGAGCTTTACTTGTACAAAATATATTGAAACAAATGGGTATAGATCATTCATTCTTTAGATTCACTGAAAGGGATATAGTCTTCTAAACGTTTGCATTTATAATTGTTTGATATTGTCACTAATATGTGTCAAAGCATATTTTGCGATTAGTGATGTCATCAAACACTGTTGAGAATTGAAGGAACCACAGAAGTCTGATTGAAAATTGAAATTGTGCTATCAGTGTCCCTGATACACTTAAAAAAAAATAGAAATTAGAATCCATTTAAAACTCAGCCTGGCATATTAATAGGTTCTGCCACTAGACTAGAGCAAATGTTTAGAGGACTGCCTCCCTTTGCAGATTATTACCATTCCATTATACTAACGATTAGAAATTGCAAAAGATCACATTGGATATATATTCAGAATAGTGTTTTAAAAGATATAGCAGAAATCCTATTTTTCTTCCAAAAGATTTGTGCACACTTGGTTAAGGGGATCAGTGGGTCAGATCTCAAAAATTGTTACCATGGTAATTGGTAAAAGTTTTTGAGAAATGGCACCCTAAAACATAGATTTATCTTAATGCAAAATATAATACAGAATTATAAATGTATGTATTTGTATATTAGTTTTTATTTCTGAAAACCATTGTTAAGTTTTTATTTTATAAGTGATTATTAATTGTATATAGATCTGTTTTACCTAATTTACCTTTTTACCATTTAATCTATTTTACTATTGTATAAAACATAGTGCTTTTGTTTTCAGTAAGCAAATTCCATAGACACTGATAAATTATCTTTTCTTACTACTTTTTAGAACATAGTGCTTTTTTCAGTAAGCCAATTCAGATATACACAGAAAAAAATCTTCTCTTTTTAGAATCTTTTTAGAAAGCCAATTTTGGTTGACACGATATGGTTTTTTTTTTTCAATATATAGATCATTTTTACAAGAATGTGAATTAGGCATTCTTGTTTATGCAGAAATCACACCAAAATAGCATATTAACATTAAATTTGTGTTCTGGCTTGATTGTGCAATAATACGATGTTATTTCAGCAGTCTGTGTTCTAGGCTGCTATTATTAACGTACCTGCCATGTGGTTATTAGGCCTAAGTGAAGTATTTTCTAGTCAAAGAATAAAGGCAGGGTTCAGTGTTCTGACAATTTAGTATATTTTGAATGTCTTCGATGACAAATTAAGATGTAAAATTGAAGATTACAATATATATTGCTAAAAGTGAAGAAATGTTGAGAATAGAGCGTCATAATGGCTTTAAATACATATTAGGAAGTAAGGGAACAACTCAACTTCATTTGGATCCACAGGATTATATTTGAAAAAGTTGAAAAAATATTGAAAGACAAATGAACCTGTGGAGGGTTCACTGGTTAAGGATCGTACAGCAAATATCTTAATTTAAATTTACGCTCTGTTGTCATTATTTCTTCAGCTTTTATATGCCACACTGCCAGACAACTGAATTCCACCTTTAATCCCTAACCCTACAGTATTTTATTGATCTCATTTCTCAAGATATTGCATCATGTAAAACTTATTTCGTTATTCAACAAGGTTAAGTCTGTTGGAGATATATTTTCACTGTTTAATTAATTGAAGTTTTTGAGCTTTTTCTTTCAAAAAAGAAATAATATTGTTTAGTTTAATAATACCTCTTTAAAACAATAATAAATTGCATTATAATTGATTAATTATAATTATATAAATTGATGGTAAATATCAAGACGGAACCTGACGTTATTTTACTCTTCAAATTCTGTTCTAGATTGTGATTTTATAGTGTTAATGATTGATGATATGTTATTACCAGAAATAAGATATTAAGTATAACTTGCATAGAATGCTGATTATTGTAATTGTTATTTGGCTGCCTTTTTAATGCAAACTGCTTTTGAAGCATGTTATTATATTGCTCAATTTATATACGGACAATAGTATCAAAATAAAATACAATATGTTACAATGTTATAATCCTTAGGTGACAATTTAATAACAGAACTCAATTGTATGGTATACTACTTCTGAGTAGTTTTTTTAACATCTGTTTTAAAAAGCGAACATCAGAATGCTTGCATTAATGGCTGTTGAATTTTTTGTTTTTTTTGCCAAGATGCATTTTTCAATGACCCATGACCATAATTATTCTAGGAATATACATAGTTTGTATAATTGTTAATACTGGATGACATTTTCTATTCTTTTTTCAATTGTTGACTTTATTGCTTTGTTGATAACTAAAACCTCATGCTTGTTTTTATATTTTGTTTATTAGCTATTTTGTTATTTTTTTATTTTCTTACTGTTTATGTTATACATCTGTTTTGTTATGGTTTTATTCTATTTTTTGATACAGAGCCCTGGCCTTGTATTCTCGAAACGATCTTGGCGCTAGGACATCCTAGAAACAGTGTTAGAAGATAAGACTTTAGGACATTCTAGAAACAGTGTTAGAAGATAAGACTTTAGGACATCCTAGAAACAGTGTTAGAAGATAAGACTTTAGGACATTCTAGAAACAGTGTTAGAAGATAAGACTTTAGGACATCCTAGAAACAGTGTTAGAAGATAAGACTTTAGGACATCCTAGAAACAGTGTTAGAAGATAAGACTTTAGGACATTCTAGAAACAGTGTTAGAAGATAAGACTTTAGGACATTCTAGAAACAGTGTTAGAAGATAAGACTTTAGGACATTCTAGAAACAGTGTTAGAAGATAAGACTTTAGGACATCCTTGCGCTAAGATCATTTGGAGAATACGCAGCCAGGTTCTCAACCTTGGGTACTACTGCCACTGATGTTACTTTTGAGCATCTCGGGTGCAAGCGAGTGATCCCTATTCAGTTTGAATATTGACTATTTTGGCTCCTTAATGACCAAGTCGGGAGTACGGAAAATCTCCACAAAATAGAGCCTAATTTTTCCGTCTCTACACCAGCTGACAATTGTCAATTAGAGGCTGTAAGGGAGGCAGATATTTCAGTCTTCTAAATGACCATGCTTCAAGTTGGTGAGGTGGATTGTCAAAATGTTCCAGTGGCGTCAAAATGTTTGAAAAAAGTCCCAAGAATCTGAAAGGTTGGGTTTAAAGTTGAAATTAAGTCTCCAATGTTCGGAAGAATCCATTATTAAAACGTGTAGACTGCAGCACAGCTCTTTTGAGTCAAGACACAGTCAAGAGGTATATTTAAAAAGAATATTTAATGTTTTGTTCATATTTTAGCATAACCCAGGGCTTTCTCCAAGTATTCTTTGTTTTTTATTCTAGTTTTATACGTGTACAGTCTGTTTTTAATTCTGAATGTCATTTCTATTAGAGTGATATTTTAAAGATTGTATAAGTTATTGTGAATTTAGAATTTTTCATAAAGACTTCTTAATTCAAATATTTCAAAAATTGTTTACTGTTCTTGTTTCTTTCTTAGGTGTGAGAACTTAAAATGTCATTTGAAAAGTACAAGAAAAATGCATTTTCTAATTCAAAATTTCTGGTTTATTTAGTTAAGAGAATTTTCTTTTAACTTAATTGAAGATTTGTATTCTGCTCATCTGATTGGTCGATGACAAAAATTGAACTTCATCAACCAATCAGATTACTGTAATTCTTCGAGTCCACAGAATTTCTGGCTTGGGGACCTTCTAACATATCACACCAAATTAAGTTCACTAATTCATCTTGATCAATAATTGTACATTCCACTAGGTTTATTACACAGTAGTTCTTTAATTTTCTCAGAGAATTTATTATTATTATTATTATTATTACTAGACATTATTGTTGAGAAAGGATACTAATGCACATGAGCCATAATTTTTAATATATTTCGTATCTGTATACTTATAGCGCACTGCATGGCATTGCCTGTCTTCATTAGCCCCATTGGTGCAGAAGAGTAGGACGTAAAATTCATTTCATTTCTTATATGTATCGAGGGCCTCAGTTGGTCAGTGATAGGACGTTTGTTCGCTAGCCTGAAGGTCCAGGGTTCAATCCTGGCATGGGTTGAAATAATACTTTTGGATTTTCAACCCTGTTCTCAACCTATCACTGATGCTGGTCGGAAGATTCGTTCTTTTCAAGGGAAATGCAGTAGAATAAAATATTTCTGTAAAAAATTCCAGATAATTTGACCAATATTATAAATTATGGCTTTATTTTATTTCATTATTAACAGAGTGTAATATTAAAACACAAGTTATAATTTATCTTCTTTCTTAATCTATGATATGGATGCAGATTGTCCTAGCCCCAGCCTGTTTCTGTCAATTCCTTCTCAACGCTACTAGAAAGGGCAATATGTCAGGTATGCCTTTAGAATGTACTTTTTGTTAGAAGGATAAGACACAAATGATAATCGTAATGGAAGAGTTATATTCCCTTGGCAGCATTAGAGTGAGGAGTCCTTTGAAATTAATGACAATTATATTGACTAGATGGAAAGAATCTTGTTACAATAATTTTCAAATAGTTTATTTGATAATAAAAGATAATTCTGTTATCATATAAACATGGCAAGCTGAATATAATATATTCTATTATTTACAGTAACAATTATTTCACTGTTAAAATAGTGTTAAATGCATCAATTGTAGAGCGATATAGAAATATTATAACTGTTGCGGGTTCCGAGCTGTGTTCTGTCACAATCTTTTTCTGCTGATAATTCAGATATTCTCTGAATACAACCATTTAAAATTTTAGTCAAATTTTGCATTGCATAGGCCTTACAAAGAGCATTGTATTTGTCACATAAAGCATTATTGTATTACTTTGCCACCCATCATTTAAACAATATACTATTTGACCCTGGATGTACATTCTTATTAAAATTTTGAATTAATGGAATAAGTGGTAAGAATTTCAGCTTGCTGTATAAAGGGTTATGTTCATATGACACCTCTATAAACCCTTGCCGAATCAACCACGGTACTTTCATAAACACTATCATTAATCTTTTAAGTTACAGAATAGACCACCACCTTTTAATTACAGTTTATATGAGACATGAATTTTCTTCTTTGCTTTGAAAATCTGAGGTTTGGGCTTTTAAATTAACACATATGTACTTATCACCAATATAACAAACAGTAAATTTCAACAATAAAGCCACAGACTTGTCAAGCACAAACATTTCTAATCTCATGTCTGGAATGATGAGCTACATTGAAATTAAAGATTTAAAGCATCAAAAATAATCATATGATCTAATCTTTTACAAACGCAACCCAATGGGTTGAACCCATTGTAAAAATATTAGGGATTGTCACACATTTAAAGGAGCCCCTACTCTTTCACTTCACTCTTAGGGGGTCCTTGTACTACAGGCACACACCATTCTTGAGGGTCCCATGCACTAAGTATGGGCACACACCTGTCTTTAAGGGTTCATTTCGCTACTGGCATTCTCGTATCACACACAAGGAATCACAATGTATTATATATAGGACATCAGGATATATTTAAATCAGCACGTAAACTCAGTATTCTTCCAGCTGTCATAGGGGGCAGTCTGTGTACACCCATTTCACCCAATGTTTGTTTAATATCAGTATGTTTCGAATTAGGATCCTTCGCCTTTCCTTCATTTTGTAAAACTTCTTTTAATAAAATGGCTGAACCAGGTTTTAAAGTCAACAATATACAGGCTTCTTTTACTCTGAAGTTATAAAGAAATCATTTATTAAATATGAAAGGCAGGTAGATATTATTCATGGAGGCAAAAGAAGGTCCCAAGTTTTATTTTTAAGTACTTAATATAGATAAATCTTGGAAAATTGAAGGGTAAAAGTTTATATTGAAGGAGCTTAACACCGTTGACTTCCTTTCCTATTTTCCCTGCTCGCTAATGATGAATGATAATAAAACATTTTCTACAATAAAGGACATGTTTGTGGAAAGATTATTTAATTTATGCTTACTCTCTGAAGTAGTTTTCTGGTTTCTGTGTAAACTCTCCAAATAAGGGAAATAAATTTCTGGTCATATCAAACTGTAGTTGGGTAGCACCTCCATCATTAAAATGGTTTGACAGTATCACCTACAAAATACAAACAATTTTCAAAATATACATTTATCGTTATATAGTACATGTATATAAATATGAATAACAAAATAACAATTTGAAAGCAAACATCGTCCATCTTGCCTCATTTACAATTCTGAAATTCAGAGAACTCATCTGTTATGGGGTAGATCAAACTGAGGGAAAATAAACAGGTCTGCATTTATTAGAAACGGCACAACCTCAAAATGTTTCAAGCAAGGGACAAACCGCTTTGTGGAAACCTGAAAGTTAGAGAGACTGACAATAAATAAAATAATTCCTACCTCATCCATGAAGAATTTATTGAGTTTACCAGTCAATCTTTGCCATAATTTATTAAATAATGGTTTAGATAACAGTTGATCCATGATGGCTAGATGTTGTTTCAAAACTAAGAACATATCACAAGCTGAAGCTGACAGTCCTAAAGTAGTCTGTAATTCTTTCTGAGATGGTAATGCCAACCATCTGGAATAGAAAAGAAGCATGATTTTTGTTTGAGCCATGAACACAAAGTAGTCATCGACTTCTCTTTCGAGACCCCACCTTGGTAATGTTAATTTGTTGTTTCATTGATTCAAATTACTGGTCGTTAGAATTCATCCAATAGATGGGCGTGTTTTCAGCAATTATCTAATTCAAGAAAAAAAAAGTAGTATCTTAAAAATAGATTTATCAGTATATATCTATAATTCGGTGAAATTGAACACAATTGTTAAGTGTATGGAATAAGACAAATAAAAGAGCCAATGCATAGATCAATACTATTCTAAAATATAGCAAAAGATAGCTTAAAGGTTGACTTACCTGTCTTTTCTATAAGGTTGACTATGAGCCTGGATATCCATAGCTATATAATTGACACAATTCTTGATCATCTCATTCTTCAAACTCTCATATTTCTCTATAACATCTTCAAATACAGTCGTTTCAAACACTGGTACATTGTTAAATTCCTGTAATTAACAGATGACAAGTGATGTAGTGAGAATACTGTTTAATTGTAAATAGCATGCGCACCATTTCTTACCCTGGCAAAAAAATTAGTGCAGACACCAACTTGGCTTGAATTGTATTTGCAACAAAAATATCATTATCTAGTCAAGTTATTACGAAATTACAGGAACCAAAAAAATCTGCATGGAATCTTACAAATGTCCCTCACACACTTATTCCAATGAATTGAAGGAAATTTGTTCATTGATTTCCAAAATTTTACCTTGAATTCTTCTGTTAAATCTGTAGCAGAAGATATAGAGAGTCTCTGATTATAATGATACATTTTGGTGCCTTCTAACTCTGAATTCTTCGTTAAATGAAAGTACTGAAGACGCAGAAAAAACTGCAAAAAAATATGATAGTCCAATTTAGAAAGGTTTAAATTTTCAATAAAGCTACCCAAATGAAGATAGTTTATCTGAAACATCAGTTCTAATCAATTAGAGAGGTTTTGAGAACTGTTAGCTATGTTTACTTTGACAATCAAGTCTAGTGCAGAGTGGCATCAGGATTTCTGAAATATTAGTATTCCCTGCCTCATGTACTATGGTAGTTTGAAGCAAATAATTTCAATCATAAAAGTTTTGGATATGACTGGCTGATACATTTCCAAGGTTTAGAGGAACCAAAAGCTGCAGAAATATTTAAGGCTAAAGGGAGATAATTAAAGAGGTTTTAAGTCCACAAATAACTTACCACTAATTCACTCCACTCTCGGAGCACCTCTATGACATAATGAACACCATTTAATATTGCTGTAAATTCTTCACCAACAGGGCTATGTGTATATCCTTTCATGATCTGTACCACACGAACTCGGAATTCTTCTAATAATTCTAGCTGTAGTTTTAAAAATTTCAACTGACTTGTTGGGGTGGGAAGAGGCTTATATCGATCTGAAAATTTAAATTTCATTCAAAATTACAAGGAATTCCTCTAAATATCTGCTTGACAATGACCAGACTTTAAGTTGTCAAATGCTATATGTAGATCCAACAAGTGTAATCATGATCTTCCATTCTTCCAAAACTTTCATGATCAAATAAACCTGCTGCTTTTCATCTACTAAATAGCTTATTTGGAATTTTGGAGTGAATTTATTTTGAGTGCCTGTAACGATAAGATTTACCTGTGATAGTTAATAGTAAAGTCATGAAACTTTCAGCACATTCTGGTACCTTTAATTCTTCAATATCTACTATATCTTTATATTGTGATAGCCAGGCTGTAGGTGATGATAACATTCCATCTATCTTCTCTACAGCAACTACAGTATATAACCAACTATTATCAAACATCACCAAAAACCAGAGAAATATATAATAGTATATCACACTTCTTCATAAACATTGCACATAGCATTTCAACACATTTTATACCTGACTAAATAATCTGATCATTCTGTTATGTGCTTTTTTATTAAAGAAGTGAATCACGCAGTGATATATTCTTGTTGTGTTGTTATACATGCTCTCTGCTTCAAAATGTCTGTTAAATCTTATTATTAAATATCATAAAATCATTCAAAGACAGGTTAATATAGTTGACTTCTTCACATTCTTGGACAATTCCAACAAGAGACTACTTTTATTTTCAGTTTGTAACTTGATTTTAAGGGATTGTAAAGAGGTTTTCTAGTCGCAAGTGAATCCTGTTATTCTAAAATCCTCAACCATTCCATTAGTGATAGTGACGTCATAATCTAGTCATGAATTTTTTAATTGCCAAAACCACCGAGAAGATGGAATCCTCAAAATATTTAACTTACATTTTTTTTCAATGACCAACCATTTTTTAAAAACATCCCCATTGACTAAAACATGTAGACAACCAGGTTCATCATAAGGGTAGCTATAGGTCAATCTTAACTCTTTATCAAACATCAAGGCTTCATCTATCATATGAGATATTTGATGATCATCGTATAATAATTCTGGTACATCATGTAATATCTTCTCCATTACTAACTGTACTAATCCTCTCATAAACTCTACCTGGAAATTACATAGGATAATACTTATCTTATCTGTTCTGAGAAAAGACATTAGGATAGTAACAAGGAGGTAAAGCAAGTTTTAAATTTTCAGAAGTTCTCTTTGGTCATCAGGAAGCATCCCAATTCTTACTTACCAGCAATGAAAGATTTGTATAAAGAGGGTTTTAAGTTTAAATTTGTTCACATAGTTCAAAGACATAATTTACCTTAACATTAAGTTGACTGTCCTGTTCTTTTATTAAAGGTTGAATGTTTTTATCAAGAAATTCCTCATGATCTCTAATCCAGGTTAAAACTTGGGTAAAATACCATTCAGGCTAGAAAAATTACAAAATAAAACATAATTTACTTTTAATTAAGATCTTATACCATAGAAAGTGCAGAGAAACCCATCTATTCTAGCATAGATTGTAGAACATGTGTGGTGGAGAATATAGAAAGTGACTCCTACAGTCTACGAAAAATTGACCTTATGACCAAGCATGGTCTAAATATAAAAATAATATACTGAGATCTAAATATATTTGATATAATATAAGTTATCTAACCTTGTCTAAACTGTTGGTTTGTTTGTTGCCATAGAAATGAAATCTGAATCTTTTCCTCAATGGTAACAACATCAACTGCATGGGGTAGGCCAAGGGAGGTAATTCTACAATTTTCCTCAATTCTGGATTTTTAATAGTTTTATCTGGACTGATTTTTTCAGTTGGAGTGAGTTAAGGATATAACAATTGGAATGTTCTGATCTTTTTTTCAAAGTGTGCCGTGAACATTTTTTTCTCCAAAACTGTTGGTGTTAACCACGGTTTCTAAAGTAACTTATGACTTAGCGTCACGTTTTATGCCTGGAGTTCCTAAAACAACACGGGCATGGTTGGGATCAATGGATTGACCATACAATCAATAGCATATCAAAATATTGTGCTTATTGTTATTCAATGTAGTCTCTACACCTTAATGACCTTAATTCATTAGAAGTTGCACTTATATACATTTATAAAAGATAGCATGTGTAAAGGTAGTAAAGTAGATAAGTCTCCCCTGAATTCAATGATACTCAAATACCAAATATTGATAATTATGATTTTGAAAAGGATATGGAAGTTGTAAATGAAGCATCTGTTTAAACATGATCTCCATTCGTTTTTTGATATCACCTATATTGGGTGGTGTTGGTGTTTGGATTGTTGATGTAACCACAGGCCATCTCATTGACTTTAATACCTCTTCAAATTCACTGGAAATAAAAAAAATTCAAAATATTGCAAACGCATTTAATTCAAATTAAATTTTATTGATATACACAGGGAGGAAATTTCATTTCAAACTTCAAGCAAATGCATTCAATGAAAATGAATCTAAATTAAACATTGATGAAATTTTTTTAATTTAAATTTTCAATGCAAATGCAATTAATTTTTACTTTTTCAATTCTCTAGAGTACAAATGAAATCAAATTGAGAATATCTTTATTAGAAAGTTCAAAAGTTTCAAGTCTTTATCAAGTGTTAAATAACAAAATGTCTTCATACATTTGTCTATTTGCTTTCATCTTGCAATTTTGGCATGATCTGATTAATAGAAAATCTTAAATTGACTGAATCAGTGTTTAAAATGCACTGAGTAAAAGAGAAAATGATAATCTAGGTTCATACCGAGCTATTCTAGATTTGATAATATTATTCCAGAATATAACTGTATCTTCTACAAATTTCAGTAATCTGCTACATTTTGATGTTTGAATACTTTTATATAATAATATCAGATCAGTAAAATTACTTAAAGCTGGTTGAGAGGTCTGGGTAATTAAAGCTGCTTGCAATTGATGGCTGAAACAAAAATTAATACAATGTTTTTTTGACATAAAGTATCAAATATACAATAAAATAAAACAAGAAATTGAATTACCTAGTGATAATTGTGTTAATTATTTAAAATTTCATATTTTAGATGTTTGTCTTAAAGTACAAACTATATTTTACTGATATTTTAATTCATTAGTTTTGAAATTGCTGAACTATTGTCCTTTAATATGATTAAATTCATATAAGTAATTTTGGTTTTGTATTTCTACCAATGAAATGACCGAGTTCTACTTCAGAAATCCCAAAGATTATAAACAATTAGGATGGCTACTAATTAGTGTGAGAAATAAGTATGTTATAGTACCTGATGTCTTCAATTTTTGAAAGGACTGTTAAATATTTAGAGTACTGTTCCAATTCTTCAACTTGATAAGTTAATTTATTCAAATGATCCAACATTGGACCAACATCACGAAGTTTATCAAGGATTTTGTGATGAAGATTTTCCTGTTTTTCTCCCAATTTCTTGACATCTTTATTGGTATCCTCTGCTACTTTTATAGCTTTGTTTATTTCGGAGGGAACTTCTGTACTGGCTAATGAAACCTACAAGCAAAACGTGTATTGGTATTAGAAATTATTATAAAGCAGGTTAAAATCAATACCAGACCAGCATTTGCTTCATTGTCTGGAATCGGAGTGGCATCTCATTAAACCAACAGCATCCCAAGTGTTTAAATGGAATACATTACAACTGTTTTATTATCTAGGTACATGATAGGACAGAAGCAGTAATTTGAAGTTAATTTACTATGATTACAACAAACACATATCTTTTGCATTTGTTTAAGACAGTAGTAAAGAACTGTGCCCTAAAACTAACCCTAACAAAGAACCTAAAGGCAGCTCAGAGCTACATTGTAACAAAATATGGTCACCCCAACCTTACATTAAACAAGTCATAAGGCATTCAAGTTTACTGCTGAAGTGCAATAACGAGTCATTTCCTATATTATTACACTTTCATATAAAATCACTTCTTGAACAAAATTCATTAGATCTATGGCATTATGGCATTGATTCAATGTCATGTCAACCAAATGTCAATAATACCATCAGTGGCATCAGGCAATCATGAATACAGACTTAAACTCTAGTAAAAGCCCAGGCCTGTTTATTATGTCTCCATGTCCATGTAACCGTAAATGTAATAATGAATGTGATTATGAATATTATGAGTAAGAATAGTTAGAACTAGGGCCGAGGATATTCGCCACCCGGGTGGCAAAACTAAAAGTTTGTAGTAGGCCTATGCATAAAAAAAATTTCAAATACCTTCTTCTCCAAGGCTTCTTTCTTTTCTTTTAAGTCATTGTAAAGGTCCTTTGCTTTAAATATATCTCGGGGATTTTCCCCAAAATTGTTGTTGATGTAATTAACTACAAAATCATTTAGAGCAGACGAATAATGTTGCATGGGCGCTGCCATGTTGGCAGAATTTCCTAAAATAGATAATATTTTCTGAAACGAAATATTTAAATTTCCGTTTTACAAATTTGGAATTCTTTGTATTTGTCTTTATAATAAAAACGTGTATTCTGAAATTTATTTTATTTATTCGACTTCAAACAAAGTATTACTAAGAGGACGTTTATTTGATATTGGTTTTCTTAATCATTATTTCGTGTTTCTTTTTCTTTTATTTTGAGAATTTCATGAATTTTAAGTAACCGGTTTCGTTCTTTCTCGACATTTCGCGGTTCGTGGGAGAAAATAGAACTAGCGGTACGACTGAACGATTTAGTAAATGTCCATGATTTGATCATTATCCATTCATAGTTTAATGTGAGTTATGAATTGTTTACTTTGTCATTTATTTTTAGGGATTGTGAAAGAGTATTCCTTCTGTTTATTGTCTATCCAGTGTTAAATTTTCCGGATTTCTCTAATCATTTCACTCTATCATCAATGATCGGTCGAAGCCATTATTATATCGCGACCGGTTGCGAGAAATGATTACTCAACTAGTAAACCGGTTAAATGGACTCGTCCAAGTAATCTGGCTTTACTAGCAAGTAAAGTATGATTTCTTATTGTGGTGGCTTCAAACCGGTCAGTATCTTTCATATTCTTTCTCTTTGAAATGGTCAAGTATGTTTAAAATTTTAATATAGAAATAAAGAATTATGATTAGAATTTACTTCTGATCTAGGTTAGACTATTTTACAGGCTAGGCAAATGGACTATTCATTTAAATGGCCTATTTTTAGCTGTGAAGTAATCAAGTATTGAGTCTTGTATAAAGATAGATCTAGTATATTACTAGTAGGCCTATAGATTACTAAGTAACATTACTTTGTTAGGCCTAAAACTGAGTTTGATTGCTAGGCTAGTTCTAGACTAGTGGATTATTATTGAACAGACAATCTAGACTGAAATATTAATCAATTTATGAAAAATAAAAGGGAATTAATTTTTAGAATTTTCAAGCAATTAATGATATGGCTTGCAGCAATTTAAAATATATTTCAAATCAATTGATGAGATTGCTTTACTGTGTGTTAATTTTTTCTTCTTTTGTAGATAAGCTATTAAAATTCTTTGGTTCTGTATATTAAAATATTTAAAAAAAAATTTGCTTAAAAGGATTTTAATTGATTACGTGCCATTGTTTTTTTTTAGTTTAAACTTTTGAATATGCTTATTGGATCAATAAGTTTACGATCAGAAGATACTAATGTTCTCTGAGTTATTTTCCTGAAGCCAATTTTTAAAAACCCTAATTTTCTATGAATTTGTTACTTAATAAGTTAATCTTTTAGAAAAGTTTGATTTTAAAGGGTTTTTTTCTTTTAGGTTTTCTTAACTTATTTTTGTGTATAGAGGACACTGTTAGCATCGATTTGCACCATTCCTAACTGACTCACTATGCCAATATCTGCTTATATGATCTAAGGCCTTTAGCAATACCGGTAGACATAAAAAGTATAAAAACATTCTTTACATTCCCTTTAAGTTTATTCACAGGCAGCAATGGCAACAATTTATATTGTACAAAATTGTCTATTTCTAGTGATAGTTTATAATTGAATGATACATTGAAAATGTCAGGAATTGCTCTTGGTCGTTTGGCAGAAGAAAGAAAGGCTTGGAGGAAAGACCATCCATTTGTAAGTATTGTTCATCTCTGAAGAATGACTTGTCTTATGTTTTTATGTCTTAAAGGATGTTTTTAGTTTGAATAATTGCATAATCATGTCCTATAGAGCCTTAGCTTCAGGTTAAACCTTTGCCTAGAAGCTTAAATGATATTTTAATAGCCCAATTTTTTATAAATTTTATTTGACTCCACTCGTTTTTCTCTAAACAAACATTCCAAACTTGTCATCGAAATGTAGACTTAAGAATAAGTTCTATTTGTCATATTTCAGCTGACTGAAAATAGGTCACTTGTCTGGAGATCGCATAGCTTGAAACTCTGAGTCCTAAAAACATGTTTTATAGGTTCTGTTTTGTTATTTCTATATTAATTTGGTATTGATGTATTGAGGTCTACTTTATATAATTAACAGAACTTTTAATTTGGTGTTGATTAAATATTTAATTTTTGTTTCAGGGTTTTGTGGCTAAACCAGTAAAAAATCCAGATGGTTCGCTAAATTTATTAAACTGGGAATGCAAAATACCAGGAAAAAAAGGGGTAAGAACCTTTTAAATGAAAATATTTATTGCAAATTCTCAATTTTGAGGCTTGTATGCTCATTCTCTTCTGTACAAAAAAATGCTTCCTGTTGCTTGTTCAGGCTGGGAAGACACTCTTATTCAAAAAGTCACAATAACCACTTCATGTTCAGTAATAGTTTTACTCATAATGAAACCTCTTGCATGGCTGATAACAAACTTCAAGTTTGATAATAAAATGACTCTATGAAGGTGAAACTGATTTTTAATTCCTTGTTTTATAGACACCATGGGAAGGAGGATTATATTCATTAAGAATGTTATTTAAAGAAGATTATCCAAGTACCCCACCTAAATGTAGGTAGAAATATATAGCCATCTAGTTTTATCTCCACTTTTATTTCTGAGAATGTTTTCACTTATATCTGTAAGACAAAATAGCTTCTATCTGTTTCATCTTCAGGGAAAAATTCATTCTTTGGTCAACTGGTATGGAACCTGATTTTGACCTGCAACATGTGTTTGGGACAACATTTTCATATATTAGACCTTTATAAGGTTAACACCTGTTCCAGTTGGTCATGTAACGAGAGATAGATAATTTGTATTCGATAATTTTTGATTCATGAAGATATATTGAAAGTTATGAAAGAAATTATTGATTTCAAATATGTTTATTTATTTTCAGGTAAATTTGAACCTCCATTATTTCATCCGAATGTATATCCATCAGGCACAGTATGTTTATCATTATTAGATGAAGATAAAGATTGGAGGCCAGCAGTTACAATCAGACAGGTGGGATATTTATTTATTTGAGAACCCTGGTTGAATGTACACAGCCTGTAGTTGGGGCCAGGTTTTATTGTCCTATCTGTAATCTGACTAACAAGACACTTCCAACTGTCCACCTCTTCAGCCCGCATCATAGACTATAAAAATGTCCAATGTATACCGTATTATGCCAGTATTCCTGCAAGCATCTAACTCCAAAAGTACAATTTCTTTTGTAAATCTGAATGACGTGATTCTGGCATGAAGAACTTGGTGACAAGAGAAACATTTGAATGGCTGTACCTCATTAATATAATTACTTGTTTGCCTAGACTAAGATGCAAATGGTATTGATGATGTGATAGTATCCTGTCCAAACCCATGCCTTGTGTATTTGCTTCTTCTACTTTCCATAGTATCTATTTAATCCTGGTACTTCAAGGTAAAATAGCTAATAAAATGATTCATATTTCAGATATTATTAGGAATACAAGAGTTATTAAATGAACCAAATATAAAAGATCCAGCACAAGCAGAAGCTTACACTATATACTGGTATGTATTCTAACTTATTTACTGTTGGTTAAATATTGTATGCTTCATTGTCTCTATGTTTGTCCATCTTAGATTTCTTCAAGTAATGCTCTATTTCATACTCTCTATACCGTCAAAGGGACAATTTGACTATGGCTTCTGATATTTCCTTTCATAATGCTGAAATTTAGATAGTCTGTTAGGTCTGATGTAATTGGCTAATCTGCATCAGTCAGTCAACATTACTGTTGCGAAATAGTATTTTAATTTGTTATCCAATTGGCCAGTTGTAAGTGAAATAAAAGTATGGAACACAGCATCACTGAGAATCGAGAGGACAAAATGTCTCTCCTTCTTCAAAATACCATCATCTATATTATTCTACACCATATAATTCATTTGATATCAAGGGGAAATTGTTATCATGTTTGCTGTATTGTCATTTCTTTTTCAGTCAAAATCGTGATGCATATGAAAAGAGAGTTCGAGCTCAGGCTATCAAATTATTAGATGATTCAGGAGGAATTTGAAGTTAGTCTATTCTCAGGGATTATTAGTTTTAAATGAACAGTTGGTTTTGATAGCACCTTGTTTATAGCACGAGTTATTGTTCTTTAGTCAAGCGAAGATATTTATGTACATCTCGTGTTATTCAAAACTGAAATAAGAACAGTCTAATTTGATTTTAGGTAGAACAAGTAGTTATTGGCACTATATAAACCAGACTTGTATTGTATTGTGTTCAATACTACTTTTCCTACCTCAAAATAAAATGAACCCTACATTATGCATAAATATCTTGGCTTGACTATACACACCTTGCGTTAGCCTATTTCTAGTACATGTGTACTAATGAATCTTTTTTCTTTTTCAGTCAAGACAGAGATGCTTATCACAGAAAAGTACGAGCACAAGCAATCAAATTACTAGATGATACAGGAAGAATATGAAGCGGAATTTTTAGAAAACAAAGAATCATACTGCAGCAATCATTTCAGTGTATAAAAGGGAGTTTTGATGGACAAAAGGACATAATCCAATAGAATTGTGATCTGTGGTGTTGTACAAATTATTTTCAATCATCCAGTGCATTTCTTTTCTAGTCTCAAACTTGAAATAGAATTTGATAATCAGCATAAAATAAAATATCTGGATCAGTGTTCACCAGATCGCAACTGATTTTTGGTTGTGTACTGACTTCTCTAATTAAAAGTGCTATTTTTAGTGGTATTCCCAGAACTGTACAATTTACCAACATTTAAGTGGGGTTTCCCCAAAATTTTGGTTCTCCCATAACTGTACAATTTTACTAACATTTTAGTGGTTCTCCCCTAAACTGTACGAATTACAAATGCTTAGAATTCCTATTTTTGCACATTCTGTTTACATGATTGCTGGATATTTATCGTTGATACACTTGTAAATAACTCAGCACTATGTCATCATTTGTTAATATTTCAAAATGGAGATCATCACATTTACAGGCCTGTGGTAGCCAGTTCGATTCATTTTGTATATAAATGAATATCATTTTCCTCATAATATAAATAAGGATTTGGGAATAAGTTCAGTTGTATATTTATATTTTATTGCAGAATTACCAATTCATGTCATAATTTTTTAGTAAAATTTTTTCAAAAATGGAATACAAAAAGTGATTGTGATTATTTTGCACACCTTTTGCCTGTAATTAAAGGCAGGTTTCGTTGTGGTCTGATATGAAATAAGGCTTCAGGGCCTTTTTTCCTACAATCTAGGGATAACTGATATACCATATGATAAATATGAGGTGCCATGCATATCTCGAGGTTCCCAAGTTGTTGCAGATGGTACTATGGTTTGAATTAAGATATTTCTTCTCATATAAGTCTTATTTAAAACAGAAGCAGTCTACTTCAATTTTAGGTAGAATAAATAGTAATTGAAACTATACACACTATACTTACATTGTGTTTACTACTTGCACTACCTAAAAAGAAGTGGACCGCCCGTGTTTGTTATAAATGGTACTCAGATGGGTAGAAATATCCTGTTTAACTATAATATAAACATAACACTTAACATAAGATTATTATATTCAGGGACTCTACCAGTGTAATTCCAAATATTTCTGTATAAATTTACTGTTAATAATTTGTTATTGTAAACTTCAGTAAAATCTATCGCGTATTTTAGACTTTTATTTTATTGATGCAGAATTTCATGGTTAAATACCCTTCAGATAAAAGTGGTATTGCAGTGCCCAGTCTGTTATTCCCCCACCTTTTAAGACTGGGTAAGAAAAAAAATAAAATTAAGGCCCAATATCTTAAACTTGCATCCAAAGCTTGATATTCGTTGAAAGGTCATAGAGCCATAACAGCTAACTTTGCAATGGACCAGTCCAACATATCATTTAAGTCATTAATTATTGAGAGACTTTAATACTGAACAGCAACTGGGGGCCTCCACTGCACGCTCAGGGATTCATGGATTCTACAGAATGTGCAATAAAACAAGTTGGAACAAGAGTTCAGAACGCTAAAAATATTAGGTGCAGACAAACTTTCAAATGATGAAGAAAGAAAACTTTGCATGTTACTTATACACTTTCATACCATTCGATAAGTGGGAGAATTGGAACTGACAGAACTTGTTCAGAACTCTCCAATCAAGTGCCACCCAAATCTATAAGTTAGCAGAGATATTTCTGCACAATCAGACACTACTACACAAGTAAAGAAAACAAGTTTCTCTTGAATATAAATATTTATCAAAACATGGAACATATAACAAAAGTAACATTAATGCCAAATATTGGAAATTTAACCATAAATTAGCTATCCTGAAGATAAATGAAGTTTAGTGTGCAATGTCTCAAATTTTGAAAGCATAAAACATTGTGTCATATTACTGCTATTATATCTGAAACATATCTGTTACTATGATAGACAATGGTCAAGATAACTCCATATAGTAAAATTTGGATGAGAACTGGACAAGGATGATTTACAGTGTGTATTCCTATACTAACTGTCCTGGAGATTCTTAACTGTCTGCTATCATTAACTGTAATTGCCACGATTGTTGGAAGCAAACAAAATACTTTAGTCCCCTAAATGTTATCTGTTTCGCTGACTTGGACCTCAGTAATATTAGAAACTCCAACAGGATCATCTACCACATGGGCTTCCATCATGGCTTGTTGAATAGCATCAGATTCAGACAACGGTGCCATAGCTACTGCTTCTATTTCATTATCCATTTGCATATTCAATTTATCAGATAACTGATTTAAGACTGAGATAGTGGAACCCGATTCGGAGTCTATTATACGTAAATTCTGACCCTCCTCATTGACTAGAACACACCCTTCTCCAGTTAATTGTTGGAGTATAGCTGGATCTATCTCTCCTTCTGTTACAATCTCTAGATTCTGTATAGTTTCACTGTTTTCTATGTCAGCATGAACAACTACATACTCTGTACCCTGCAATTGAGATACAAATTAGTGTGTAAATTGTATGCAATGAAGGACATCTTGCCAGAGTATTAGCCTAATCTTTATCAATACATGTTTGATCTTTATAACCAAGAATGGCTTAGGTTTTATTCAACCCTGGAACTTAAACCTTTTTCCTCATACTCCCCTCTGACCTATATCACGACAAAGAGTAGGTTGACAAATCCAGAAATTTTTATCTCAGCCTTTGCCAGGTCTAAAATCACACTTACACACTTGACTAGCTAAGATACACTAATAGATCAATATGACAATTGAAGAAAGCAGTGGAAATTCATCAGAAGGGTATTTCCCGGTAGACGTCATTTTTGAATGGTTGATTAAATTGGGACTGATTAATTACAATGGGGTCACATGACAGCAAAACTGCAATAAACCTAAACTGATAAACCATAGAGAAATCTTACCGAAATATCTAAAGCTTCTGTACCATCAGGTAGAATATACTGTGTATCAGCCACCACCGAAGAAAACTCAGCTAATACAGTGGGCTCTTCCTCTTGGTTTTTCCCTTCTGCCAACTGTTCTGTTATTAATTCAGCTTTACGAGTCAAGTACAGATTTTTTGTACATGGAACTGAAACAGAAAGAAACAACTATATTTTTACACGGATAACAACACGGTCACAAAGGATCCTTTTTACGAGCTGGTCTTTGACCAAATCTTGTTGCATTGATACTTTGTGGATTACCTATGCCTATTTACAGCTTGGTTGACCAGAATTATGAGTGAAGATAACTTATTCAAAGTCATAGGACTTTCAAATGCTGACTGAGATTAGAACCTGCGACCACCATGAGGTCATGTGAAGAATGCCCTAACCAACTGAGCAATCGAACCTCACAAACTGAACTGAATAAAGATAATAAGTGAATTACCCTACCTTTAGCTTTAAGATGTCGTTGTAAGGTGCCTTGTTCAGAGAAACCTCTTCCACAATGTACACATTTATATGGCCTCTCTCCAGTATGCATTCTAATGTGTCTCTGTAAGGAAGCCTTTTCTCTGAAGAATCTATCACAAAATCTACATTGATATGGCAGGACTGCATTGTGGGTTCTAAGATGAACCATTCTGGAATTCTGAAAAACAGAAAGAGGAAATATGAAACACAAACATAAAAATTTAATTTAGTATTGATGAATTAGAAAGTTAATGTTTATTACTGTCTTGATGATGGCATTACAACATACTCCTTTTCTGCACCTGTTCAGACTAAAGAGGACAGACAACACCATGCAGTGAGTAATACGGTAAATTATGCAAGGAAAGCGACCATTTGCCTACTTTTTAAACCAACATTCTAAACATCTTACCTTAGTTTTAAATGTTTTAAAACAATGTTCACAAGAAAATGGTCTATCTGAACTGTGAACTTTAAGATGTTCTCTGATATGAGAGATTCTTTTAAACAATTTTCCACACTCCCCACATTTATAATTTCTATCTTCAGTATGTACTGCAGAATGTTTTGTTAAAGCATCTTTAGTTATAAAACATTTCTCACATAGAGAACATTTATGAGGCTTCACACCTGGAAATAAAGATACAATATTCATGATGTTTTGGTGTATTTATTAACAAGAGCTCATCTCTTGTCTCGACACCAATTTCAAATACAAATTCTCATCAGGAGTCCTATTGTCGAATACCAAACTTAAGAGAATTTTATTGTTATTCAAATCATTGGTTGATCGCTTAAATTGACTTAGATTTCATGACATATAAAGGGTTACTCATCTGGAGCAAAATCTACTCTTTGTATCAAGGATTGATTGAAAACAAAAACACAGGGAGCTCAATGAAATTATTCAACTCACCAGCATGACTTCTCATATGCTGTTTAAGGTAAGTACTGCCCCTGAATATTCTCTCACAAGCTGGACATTTATAACCGTTTCTATCTGCTCCAGGAATCGGCAATTCCTCTAGAGACAAGGCACCTGGTATTTCTAGTAACTGACGAACAGCTATTTGGGCATTTCTACAAAGGAAACAGATGTAACATAAATAAGATGTAATAAATAACTAACAGTATACATAACATTGAAGAGATTTAGAGGGGACACAACTCTGACACTCACAGGCCCTTGCACTTGACAGCAGAATATGAAATGAGCTCAATGTAACTGGGGCTCCTTTCCACATACTACTTCTTGACAGAACCTTTCAGCATCAAATTCCTGTTTACCAGTGGACTTTCTTTAGTAATATAGGCCTGCATGGTAAAAATTTTATTTAAAACTGGACTTACTTTTTCTCTTCTTCCGGAGAAGCCGTAGCTGCTATAATACTGTTAGTTAATTTGTTCTGTAGATGTTCATAACCCTGAAATTATTCAATACAGAACTCAAGAGTATAAAATTATCAATTTTAATATTGTGTCTTTATGAGCTGTAAAAACAAACTAGCCATTTTCTCTTATTATATTTTCACAGGGTATTTAAATATGAATTGTTTTCTCAAATAAAGTATTTCCTTAACTATGAACCACCAACAACTTACCTTAATAGATTTTTGATGTACAGTAAGCATGTGAGAATTCAATTCATCCATTCTTTCTGCTACAAAATGACAGTAAACACATCTATGAGGCATATCAGCTACGTGTACCCGTAAATGTACAATCAGGTTCTCAAATGATAATAAATCTTCTTTACAAACCTGGAAGAAAAATACATGTTTTTTTTATGTTTAGTAGTAAGTAAGGATTAAGACCAATGGCTCCATGATATCGAGAATATCTGAATATGAATTTTTAATATCATTTAATAAAAGAAGCAAGAAGAACCTTTTAAGAGTGACTAATGTATTTATTCTACTGGCTTTCATCATTGTCTTCTTACTTCTTTATTCATACAACAACATAGAGTGATATGGCATTACATATAATAACATTTAATATTAGTAATGACAGTTTGGATTTCAGTGATGCACAAGAACTGAACGTCTTAATTAAATTCTGAAAAATGCTATAGATAGCTCAAAATTCAGCTCTTTTAGTTAGTAAAGCAAATATATGACTACATCATAGGATATATAACTATACTTACACGACATTGTGTTGGTTCTAAATTTTCTATTTCTATAGCTAAATTATCTAACCCTACTAAATTATCACCATCTAAAGTCACTAACTCTTCTGCTGTCTAAAATATGATAGAAAACAGAAATGTTAAAATCATATTAGTTTACGTCTTTTGATAAAAGAATATCAACAGAATTACACTGGATAACACTAGCATAATCAGATCTTGTGAAAAATTATAATAGTCTGTTCTTAGTTTGTTTTATATAGAAAAACACTGTACATAAAACTGGTTTGGAACAGGAAACAAGGGCCATGTCTAATAAAAATTTGTTGTACAAAGCTAAACACTTTCAAAATGACCTAGAATGAGTTATCTTTCCTCATTATTCCAGTTGACCCAGATGTGGAAAATCCAGAAAAGATCCTGGTGGAAGGGATCCTTGTGAACCTAAGTTATGCCCCTTATAAAAAATGGTTGTGTTTTGTTATTTTGTTATCTGATAGATAGGTGATAAAAGAACGAACCTGTGTAACTAAATCTGATTGTATAGTTTCATTACCACCAATTATCTGACTATCTCCTGCTATTTCACCCAATTCTACTTCCTGTTGTAAATCCAATGTAGACGTTCCCTCCTCTGCTTTTATAACCTGTTTAATGGCCCCTACAGAGCTAGATACATTCTGGTCTGGCTTCCATTGTTTACCATATCTTGGTAGATCTGAATCATTCTTCTCTAAACATGATGTCCTATACAATTATAAACATATACTGTATACCTTAACTGTTATTAGAAAAGGGATAGGCCTTAAGGGGTAGTACCACTGACACATTACTTAGCATTACACATTTTACATTCAGGCAATGAAATCAAATTCCCCAAAATATGGAAAATGACATCAAACAAAGAGGCCTTTTGCTTGTACATAATATTATGCTATTACATGTTAATATACACACTAGAATGAGCAATATGACAGTTCCCATACCTTGATTTACAATGTCTTGTCAATGCTCCAGACTCAGTAAATCTTCTATGACATTTTGGACACTCATATGGTCTTTCTCCTGTAAAATACACAAAAACTTCATAGAACTATGAATTAAGAGGTGGTTTTACGGGTGTTAGTTCAGTTATGTGAATGACAGAAAAAATTTGACTAAAAATATGTAAGTTGTAAGGTAAATAGTATTGAAATATTGCCTCATAGAACATGAAAAGTTGTTAAAATCATAATTTTTCTTTAATGAAACATATTGACCATGACATTGAACTCTACCTTTGTGAGCTAATGAAGACAGGCAATATCAGAGAGTATGGAATGAAGGGAATTCAGCTTATTTACCTGTATGTCTTCTCAGATGTCTTTTCAATGATCCTTTTGTTTTAAACTTATATTCACAGCCCTCTATAGTACATGGGAAGTCTCTCCTGTTTATATGAGTTAAAACATGGGACTTCAAAACATGTGCCTATATAAAAATAAATACAATTTGGTTAAAAAGGAGTAAATTTATCTCTCCTTACAGCACAAAAATTTGAAATTCTAATTCATGCATTCAATTCTTGCACCCCCCCCTGAGTGATAGCAGTGGAGACAGTAACTTTGAGCTTGATAAAACAAGTAAAACTCACAAATAGATTTATCATTCTATTTGCATGCTTTTGTCAAGAGTTTATCTTGAACTGAAATATGATAAAGTTATGAAATTGATAACCAATACACCCTATTCTGATCATTTCCATTTTACATAAAAATAAGCAAAGAAATGAACACTGAACTCATAAATTTTTGAACACTTTAAACTTACATCTCTGAATCTATTCCCACAAGTTTCACAATGAAATGGTCTAACAGCTAATTCTTCCTGAGATAATTTCTGTCGTTTTGTATCTAACTGTATCCGTTCTGTATGGCATGGATCATTCTCCACCATTGGTTCATCATACCCTTCTTCTTCAGCTACTGGTGGTATATACTCTGTTTCATCATCTTCAACTACTTCTTCCTTTTCTTCTTCTTCCTCTTCTTCTTCACTATCTTTAGATTCATGATCATATTTCATATGCCATCGCAGAGTTGCTTCCCTTAAATAATACATAAGAATACGTAGGAACTCATGGGGATATAAATTCAGAAACTTATTGCCCATTTTTAATGGCCTACTGAAGCCTAAGTTTCTGCTTTAGTTTTGTTCCCTATGAAGTGAAATGCAATACAGGCTTCAGTCAGTGACCTAATAAAAATGGGCAATGCCTTGCAGAGACCAATGAAAGAAATGTTGCCAAGTCAGTGGGATTAGCATACCTTAACAAAAATATTCCTCTTTGTCAAACCATCTAATCTGCATAACTAGCTTGGCAGCCTGGGACACCTAAATAACCTCGTTAAGGCACACTATCTCCTTAAGGTCAATTAAAGGCCAAAACTTCCATAAAACTGAAATATTTTGTGTAACTACTCTTACCTATTAAATTTCTTATCACAAACATTACAGATATAGGTACTTCTTTCTACAATATGGGTCACATCAATATCTGATATTTTTCTTTTTCTTTCTAAAATACAAAATATATTTCAATCAATAAGATAAAGAACAACTCATTTTTTCTTGTCTGATTTTCCATGTTCTTCACATTGAATATCTTCTTGTTACAGTTTGTTAGATTATCTAGATATACCATAGGATTGAAATGTATTTCCAGATTTACTAAAATTAGTGGGCTTACAGTAGTGGATAGCAATGCTCATCCTTACAGAGCACCTTATACCAAGCCAACATATCTCTACCAAAGAGTCTAGATAGCTAAGAACCTTAATTTTGCTGATCCATCAGTAATACAGTGACAATATCACATACTTTTCTGTCTGTTTTCCTTTAAAACCTCTGCATCTGTCGTTTCTGAAGTAATAGGTTTTTCAGCGACAGTCTTTTTATTCTTTTTTTGAATTAATTTGGGAAGGACAACTCTTTTATCTTTGTTACATCTGGAGTAGATCACTTTAAAGTTATCATGTTTCACTTTATGCTCCAAATACGACTCAATGCTTTTAAAAACTTCTTGACATTTTTTACAAAAATGAATGTCTTCATCGTCATCTTCATCATCAGTCAAAATTCCTGAAATTGAATGATTAATCAGATGAAAAAATATTACTATCCTGTCAACAATAAAGATATAGGCTAATAGTACAGGTTTAATTTCAAGAGCTCCTGTTCTATTGCCATCAAAGTTAGGGTTTAACTTCTTAAAGACGATGGAACACAACTTCTAAAGTTTTTTTTTACAAGACAGAAGTATTTTTTTGTTTAAGTTTTACAGTAGGGTAGGCCGGTAGGGCCTAGAGGAACTAAATGGCCATATCTGTCTTCTAAGATGACAGTAATCAAGACAGAACAAATGCACCATGAAATGTGAGGAGGAAACAGCTCTGTAATTGTGTGGAGATACTTCATGCTGGGATAAAAAAAAGAATGTTATGTTGCCCTTTGCTACTGTCAGAAGGCCTTTTACCACCAGATGTGGTAGGCAAATTACAGTCACTTTTACCTCAAGTGTGGCTGTGACGATAACATGAAATTATCCTACAAAATGGCCGATTTGTTTTGTTCTTCAGTTTTTTAACGAAAGGTCGTTTATTTCTAAATATGGTATCATTCATAAATTGTCTCTAATTGTAAAAACCTCAGAAGAAGACTGATTTCGCCTACATTACTTTACCTCTTGCTTTCAACACCTTCAAATCGTCGTTTTTCGGTATGTCGTTCTCATTCATGGCAATTTTGCTTTGCGACAACCACGAAGTAAGTTTGCTTTCCGCGTGAGTTTCCGTCAATCTCCGTCAGAATATAGACAGGGAGCAATTCAAAAATAACTATTCATAAATCCTCTTCATTAATAAGTTAATGGAAATGTAAAGAAATATTTGTCTTGTATAAATGCCACATTATTTATACAGTGTTATATTATGCTCAGACATAAAAATTTTGAATTTCTTTCAGTTTATTGAAGGAATTTTTTAAGTTATTTTGAATTAGCCCCGTCAACAAAGCTCCAAACCATTATCGACGAAAACAACAAATCCAAAATGGCTAACGAAATAGCCAATGCTCCCAGTAAAACATGGGAATTAAGCCTCTATGAGCTTCATAGAACCCCACAGGAAGCAATTACCGATAACACTGAGATAGCAGTTTCTCCAAGAAGTCTCCATAGTGAATTAATGTGTCCAATATGTCTGGATATGTTGAAAAGTACGATGACCACAAAAGAATGTTTACACAGATTCTGCCAAGAATGCATCATTACAGCCTTGAGAAGTGGAAATAAGGAATGCCCAACGTGCAGAAAGAAATTGGTATCCAAGAGATCCTTGCGACCAGATCCAAATTTTGATGCATTGATATCAAAGATCTATCCTAGCAGAGATGAATATGAAGCCCATCAAGAGATGGTTTTGGCAAATATTGGAAAACATCATAACACTGCATCCCTCACCCTCAGTATTGAAGAAGGGTTGAGATTGCAGGCCATGAACAGAGCCCAAAGAGTGAGAAAACATGCACCAGATGTCAGTCAAAATGGTGACGGAGAGAGTGAGCCCATGCCTGAAGAAAATGGCATCAATGGTGCTTCAAATGGAAGCATTGATGCAGAAGTTGCTTCAAGTCCAAGTCACAGCCATAAAACAGACATGGATGGCGATCAAGAGGGTTCAACATCTAATGATACAACACCAAAGAAGCGAGCTAAAATTTACTCTGATGATTCAAGTGCTGGGGAAGGAAGTACAACCTCAGAAACAGTTCCTGAGTTACCCCCAGAGACAACTGTAGGAGACATTGAACTAGTTTTTAAACCATATCCAGATTCAGAAGATGAGGAGGAAGAAGAAGACGAAAATTTGACAAGATACATCAAAACTACAGCAAATGCTACAGGTTTGTAGACATTAGACATTTTGAAATACCAGTAGGCCTACTAATAAAGCCAAAATAAGAGGGAATATTTGGCACATGATGGATTAAGTTGATATGCTTAGGCATTCTAGGAAGGCCCATCATAGTCCTAAAATTGATATTGCTTATTTATATTAGGCCATCAATCTTCTGGCTGAATCTAATGGGTTGAACCCTAGTGCTAAAAAAGCAAGGTATTGAAGCTGCTATAAAGGGAAATTTAGAATCTTCTCTAGTTTTGATTTATGTGAATTTTCAATCTAAAATATTAATTCAATATTATCTTTTAATTTCAGTTGATCATCTGTCTAAATATTTAGCTATTCGTCTCTCATTGGAAGCACAGTCCAGTGACAGTAGTAAGTAATTAGTATTTATTAATTTTGAACAGTTATAATTAACTCCAAAATATGGGGTTGTGAATTTTGTCCTTGAAGACATGAAGACAAAAACGCCTTACTCAAACTTATTTCTTAAATTTTTAACCTCGTAAGATATTTTAAGTATTGTAGTAAATATGAAAATATTGAGGTACCGTTACAGATATGCCTGTTTGAGTTGCTAAAATGAATGCTGTTCAAATTTATTCAGATACCTTTGAGTTCTTCTATAAGCTTAATGTCTGTGTCATCTGTTGTCAATAAGTAAATTCTTGTTTAATTAGTGTCCTTTTCTTTCAGAAACAGCAACTCCAGACGATAAATATTCCATTTATATTGCTTCCTCCCCTTACAACTACAGTGTATTAGGTGGCAGTATGACATTAAGTCAAGTCAATGAACGTTACTGGAAAGTGAATAAACCTTTAGAAATGTTCTATAAGAGACAAGATACAGCGCCTCCTAGAAAACCAGGAGACAAAAACTGAGACGATTTAAATTTGAATTCATGGATTACCATTAATATACAAGGTACTCTGAAATAGAGAATGTGGAATGAGTTTATTTAACGAAGGTGTATGTGAAATTGTGTTGTGAAGAGAATGAAATTGAATTATGACCATGATAAGAGATTTTATCCATATTGTCACATACTAAGTGTCCCAGATTGGGAAAGATTTTTTAATGAGGTCTTTTTTCACTGCCAAGGTTTGATCTATTGAGTGCATTAGGTTAATAAAGAATGAATGAACAAGTGCTTTTGGGACAGCCATATTATCCAGTTTTGGATAATCTCTCAAAATTCATGTACACATTTTGATCTACTAATGTGTATTGCATTTTACGTAGCTGTGGTCATTATTTCTATGTGTTTTTAGTCTATTTGATACGTCCTTAACTTAGACATGACAATTTAGGTTAATTCCCCATGGGAAGTAAAAATTTGAAAATGTGGCAAAATCTGTGTCTGTATGATATCATCTTGAACTGTTTTATCTTAACTGAACACTAGTATGTTCAGTCCTACTCATCTTCATAATGTCAAGCTATTTCGAATTTCGGTTTATACCTTAACTCAAATATCTGCATTTCTTATCACTGAATGCAACAATTAGATTGTACAGCATTGAATACAGCCAATCAGTGCCCTCAACAGAAAGACTAAACATCATGGCTTAGTGTTTAGACTTTCTTTTTTCAAGGCCTTACTGTATATGCTAGCGTACAATTAAATTGCTGCATCCATAAACTTGCGTGACACAAGAAAGGTGGCTATTTGAGTAACAATATAAGCCAAAGGTTGCAATAGCTTGAAATAGTGAAGAGGAGTCCTACAGATGAAAACTGTTTTGTTTGTTTAGTGCATATATTAATTTCATCCTTTGTGTATTGTTTTATATTTATATATGGTATGCTTTACAATTTCATTTTAATATACTGCTCTTTACCAATTGTTATATTGTCTGGTCGTTTAGTTTTAAGTTCCCATATTATCTCCCTTTGTCTAGACTGGCTTCAAATTCTTTGGGATATTCATTTGTACTAATCACTGGACGAAATTAATTCAGGGGAAAGTTTAACTGAAGAACTGGTAGTGTTGATCATTCAATGAGCTATATATGTAAACTCTCAGATATTTGCCCCCTCAAATTTACAATTCTTAGACATTTTATGGGTTGAGATTTAAATTGTAGAATAGAAATATACTTCAAACTAGAAATTTCTTTTCTTTTTCTAAGTCTTTTCTATATATGTTGGGGTATCAAGAAAGGAAGAGTTGTCATTGGGATATCTTGGGACCTTTGCCATAGCTACGTATAAAATGTTTAGTTTTAGTGGAATTATAAGGCACAGGTGTCAAGACTTAAAATAAGAATGGTGCAAATGGATGCCAGGGTGCCCTAATACACATGAAAAAAGCTAGGATAGAAAACTCTCAAAATTACTTCAAAGATTATAAATGCATATAAATTTCTTTAATTACTGAAAGCGAAAGAGTTGTAGTTGCCACCTTTAATATTCATCTTCTTCCTCTTCACCATTATCAACAGAATCAACTCCAACCTCTTCATAATCTTTCTCTAGAGCAGCTAAATCTTCTCTAGCTTCAGAGAATTCACCTTCTTCCATACCTTCACCAACATACCAATGAACAAAAGCTCTCTTTGCATACATCAGATCAAATTTATGATCAAGACGAGCCCAAGCTTCAGCAATGGCTGTAGTGTTACTCAACATACAAACAGCTCTCTGGACTTTAGCTAAATCACCTCCTGGTACAACAGTTGGTGGTTGGTAATTGATACCAACTTTAAAACCAGTTGGACACCAATCCACAAACTGAATGGTTCTTTTAGTCTTTATGGCTGCAATTGCAGCATTAACATCTTTAGGTACCACATCACCTCTGTAGAGCATGCAGCAGGCCATATATTTACCATGACGGGGATCACATTTCACCATTTGATTAGCCGGCTCAAAACAAGCGTTGGTGATTTCTGATACTGACAGCTGTTCATGATAAGCCTTCTCAGCTGAGATCACAGGAGCATATGTTGCTAGAGGGAAATGAATCCTTGGGTATGGTACAAGATTGGTTTGAAATTCTGTCAGATCTACATTAAGAGCTCCATCAAATCGTAAAGATGCAGTGATGGAACTAACTATCTGTCCAATCAATCTATTCAAATTAGTATAGGTTGGTCGTTCGATGTCCAGATTTCTGCGACAAATATCATAGATGGCCTCATTATCCACCATAAATGCACAATCAGAGTGTTCCAATGTTGTATGTGTGGTCAAAATAGAGTTGTAGGGTTCTACAACAGCAGATGATATCTGAGGTGCTGGATAAACTGAAAATTCCAGCTTTGATTTCTTTCCATAATCAACACTCAATCTTTCCATCAGGAGGGAAGCAAATCCAGAACCAGTTCCTCCACCAAAGCTGTGGAAGATGAGGAAACCTTGTAGACCAGTACATTGATCAGCCAGTTTCCTGATTCTGTCTAGGACAACATCTATCAACTCTTTACCAACTGTATAGTGGCCACGAGCATAGTTATTAGCAGCATCTTCTTTACCAGTGATGAGTTGTTCAGGGTGGAAGAGTTGTCTGTAGGTACCAGTTCGAACCTCATCTAAAAAATAAAAGAATACCTATATAGAAATATAACAAGATCCAAGGTCTAGACACTAGATATGCCAATTTTCTGAAATTCCCTCTGTTGAATACATACTTTGTGAGCTATACATTTATTATTTACTGCAAACACACCAAAAATATGTTAACTATAAATGGAATCTCTACAAAAAAGTCTGAGTTGATAAATCCAGATCAAAGCCTCATTTAGGTGAACTTGCCCGGAGTCATAGGAACATTCATCCATTGGAGACCAATTCCAACAATAATTTTCTGAACTCACCTACAACTGTAGCTTCCAAGTCAATGAACACAGCTCTGGGAACATGTTTACCAGCTCCAGTCTCACTGAAGAAAGTATTGAAGGAATCATCACCACCTCCAATAGTTTTATCAGAAGGCATCTGACCATCAGGTTGGATACCATGTTCTAAACAGTACAACTCCCAACAGGCATTGCCCATCTGGACACCAGCTTGGCCAACATGGATAGAGATACACTCACGCTGAAAAAAATGTATGCATTTCATAGTCTTATTATTTATCAAAAGATCAAACGATTTGGCCTTCTATTTCATGAAATTATGATTTAGAGGAGTGTGATAATGAAGCCGATTTGATCGACAGCCTCGAATATTGAGCCTTATTGTCTGACACCACAGTATCTGAAAGAAAGGCCGGGTGGGGTATATTGGCCAATACGGTGCACTGTATAAGTTTATTCAACTACGATCAAATATCGATGTAAGTCATCTGTCTTCAAATGGATGCTTTCCTAAACTCACCATTTTCAAAAATACTCAGATATCCTCGCCGGTAGCTTCAGATGAGAAAGCCTGCTTGAGTGTAAAGTGAACTAAACTGTGCGCTGTCGCTGGTCGTATTTATAAGGTCGACTAGGTCACGTGCTATTTTGCGCGTGCCTTTGGTAACCTTCGTTAACCTCGCTTACCGAATGGAACTAAGACCAATGTCACACGTCATTGAAACTCACAAAAGCTACATATATTTGTTTCGTGTTTATGTTTATACACCTGTAATCAAATTTGATATATGATGGGAGTTCATGCTCTGGTTTCTCCCAAACAAGCGAGAAAAATATCAATCACACATGACAGCATGTCCAATTGAACAATTGATTATCATTAAGTAGGGATTCTGTTTCAATTCTAAGGATTAAAAATAGCTGAAAATTGACCTATAGATAGAAAAGTTTGAACTAATTTTGCAATTTTTCTGCTGTTTTCTCACATAGAGGCTATTTTGGGGCTATTCTTGAGCTATTTTCTATTTTAAGTGCTAAAATCAAATCCTGCACTTTCATGCATATTTAGTGCTCAGGAATTAACTAATTAAATGTAGTTATCTCCCTTATACTGCTAGCTAAAGTAATCACTATATAGCTCAGTAAAGGGGGGTTTTCAGCCTGGGGTAACTTGTCATCTTTTACTAATACAACCTGGGTGAATTTAAAATTATTTCTTTTGCAAGAAATTATCCACTGTGAGTGAATACAGTTAAATGAATCTGTTTTCAACCTTTTCCTATTGAAAGGGGTAAAAGAAAGAAAAAGGTTGAAAACCCTGAAATAACCCCCTGACAAAGTATAACTCAGTATAACTGTATTCACTCATAGTGGGTAATTTTTAGTTAAGAGTTTAAAGTTAGATTTGTAATTTGGACAGTTTCTTGTATAGTATGAAGGGGAAGTAAATGAAGTTATATAGAGATTAGTGTGGTTGAAAGGTAACAAGGTACTATCCAACAGAAGGCACTGTATATAGAGTTGGAGCAGGCAGTGAAGATTGGCCTTTGAGTTTGAAATTTGTTAGATAAATCTCTCCTATTCTGTGAGAGGAGCAAATTTATTGCTGCTTTTCGAACCATTTGTCCATTAAAATTGGATATTCATTATGAAAGGGCAGATCTTCATTATTTGCATTTTCATTTTATTTGATCTGCAAAAACCACAACAAACTGTAGGCTATTTTTCATATATTTTATTTATAAATTTGAAATAAGCAACAAATTCTAACAGCTGGGTTGATAATAATGATATGATAATATGATATGACAGAACACATTGGAATGATCATAACATGGAATGAATGAATGGATGGATGAATGAAAAACAAGGTTTATATAAGGAATAATCCATTATGTGAATCAAAATTTGGATCATTCTTTGAATTTTCAAGAAATTTCGAATTTGAAATGTAAATTTCCATTTGTTTGCCAGCTGAGTCTGAATGAAGTTTAAAACTGTCTGAACATACTTGTGATATTTAGGGCATTTTTGGCGTGTAACAGGTTTGAATTTAGCCCGATGATGATGTTATTATGCTGAATAATGATATGATTCTTATTCTTAATAATTCATGACATTATTTTTTGAATGAATGGCAGTTTTTAGATGATCAAAGTTTTTAATCTTGCCCTTATCGGACAATGCTGCCTTTCTTTAAAGTGACGTTACAAAATATCCCAAGTTTTGATTTCATTTAGAATGGAGTATTTCTATTTTTATTTCATTTCTCTTTTCTATTTAACATAAATAAAATAATTTAAATTCACTCCAACAAATGATAATGGAAATTCTTGGACGTTTTTCTGTCAAAAAGGACAAAAGATTGACATAGACTAGATCACATTGATAAATTGATTAACAATTATGATCTATATGTCTGAAAATATATCTTATAATATATAACTTACATTCTTTACAAATTTAGCAAATTTATACAAAAAATCTGACAAAAATTACACAAAATATAACAAATTGAAAAGATGATATGTACAATTCTTGAAATGAAGTAAAATGGAGTTTTACATCCTTTTTACAATAATTCAGATCTTTGGCCTTCTACAAAGACAATGAATGAAGTCATTAAATGACATGTTTTATGTTAAAACAAAACATATATTAATGATAAATAGTGTTCTTTATGTTCTTTATGACTTAATTTAAGTCAATGCAGAAGATTCCACATATTTAGACCCAGATTTCAATTCAGTTTAACAATTCTGAGATTTATTCTTATGATGTTAATTGTAACTGAATGGTTTTTCATTTTGTTTTGTTCAAAATCAGAAATTATCAAGCAGAATTTAAATCCAGATCTTACATGCCCATTAAAGGATATTGACGGTGGAGATGAGGGGCCAAGGTTTGGGTGGGTAATTACTGGCTAGTTATCATTCCCTCATCCTAACATATAATGTCACATTATTTAGTCCAATTGGCTCTCCAACTCCCTTCTACAGGCATGTACTATTTCATTTTTCAAACTATATACAATTTCTATAGACAGTAAACAGTCACAGTGCAAAAATAACAAGTGCTATCAAATAGTCTCTAATAAATTAGAAAACATGGATTCACAACATATTGCAGTAGCATAGTAAAAATTTATTAATTTCAATAAATAGAAAATTTATGTAAAAATTCGAAGAATAATTTCTGATAGGACGAAATGACGATTTTTGAAAGATTCCACAAAAGGCACAATATTTAACTGGATGGCATAAAGCGATGCATATAAAAACGACATTTGGAACAATAATTTTCATCAATTTCAATTCCTTTTTTCTGACAGAGTTGACAGAATCCTGGCCCCATGCCAATTGGGGGAGATTCATCACTATTGTTACTGTCTATATCTTCATCATTATGATGTCCTAATGGCCTTCGATCATCATCATCACTAAAATACGCATGATCGTCCATTACCAAAGCGTTCGACTTTTCCGTGTTGTAATCACTGAAGTCTATCCCTGCTACTGAAGCAAGATTTTCCGAAAATGTCACAGATTTTCTCGGACGTGAATTCTTGTTTTTATTTTTCGATAGCACTGATTTAGGTTTTTTCACTGTCGATGAGGATTCTGATTTGCTGCGAACACGATGACCAACGTGTGGCCTCACATTGTCTGTCGCAGGTTTACTAGAAGAGTTCGTAGTCAGACTAGTGGTGGTCTCGAATCGTGATGCTAATGCTCGCACATTTAACTTTTTAGCATCCTCATCACTTGAGTCTATGATGTTATCTGATTTTAATCCGTTTCTTCCAAAGTTTTCATCATCTATATTTCTAAGATCTGGCTGACTCTGAAATTAATAAAATGAAATTATAAGTAAAGCAATTAAATTCATTAAAGTACTGGTACTATTTGGAGCTGTTTATCCTCATCATAGCATATCCCTTATTGTTAAATATTGAAAAATATGACAGGATTTGACACATTAATCATGATAAAAGAGAAAAAAACTGAAAATTCAATTTTTTTGATTGAATTTAATAATGTTTTTGTCAGATATTTCTTTTCTCATTTCATAATTTAAGTGCCAAATCCCTGCACCAATTTGTGACTGATTATTGAAATGATTACTCAGACAAATGAAACATGTATTAGAGACAAATAAAGCTTTAAAAAGCAAGTTTAAAAGCTAAAAAATAGAGACAAAGCAGTGATGGTGATTAATGAACTATTTAATTAATAAAGGTAATTAAAACATCTACTTCTCTCAAACCTGAACATCCTCTGGTTAAAGGGGAATAATCCAAAAATAAAAATAACTGAAAGCCTACCAGCTGATGATGCCAGAAACATTGTATGAATGGTGTTAGAAATGTGACCCTTTACCACAAAAATGAAATCAAATGGGTCGTTAAAACAAACCCAGTGGCAAGTGCCCTTTAATGAGTCGAAAAGTATGGAACACATGGGAAGGGTGTCTCACATCTTTGTTTCAAAAAGGGCTCAAGTATTCAACCCCACATCTATTGTTTTTAAAATTTATCAATGCGGTAAAGGGGCTCATTTGAAAGATAAACAGAAAGGACTATGTTAAATGTTAGACAACATAAAAGAACAGTTATAATAAAAGCCATAGCATGCAATAAACGACAGGGTGAAAGCTTCTTGATACTCAAAAAAAAATTTAAATAAGCATCTGCAATTTTCAAAAAATGTTAAGAAAGCCTGGTTTTAAAAATAAATGGTAAAACCAAAAATAAGAGAAATAAATTCACACATATACATACAATTAAAAGTTTAAATTCCTTTTAAATAAAACTTGGCCATAAAAAAAAGGAAGCAAAATAACCAATAAGCAGTAAGCGGCAATGACTACAGCAAACATGCAGATATCAAATACTTACTGCTGAGGAGGAGCGTAGTCCTCGTTCTCGTGTCAAAAACAATGGATTTGAGAATTTATCCCCTAAAGCAAGGAAAAAGTATTGAATTAGAAATTTTGACAATGCTTTCATTTGAAATATAAATCTTTTTTTTTTCCATTTTTAAGCTTTGGGCCTTTTAAGAATTCTAAGCTAACCTAGCGCATAATACTGTATATTATATTTTAAGCTAGCTAAGATAATATCTATGAATATATGAGGTTATTGCTAGTTAGTTAGAGAACATGTTAGTAGAAAGACAATCAAAATAACAAACAAGGCTGGAAATAGTATTTGACATCCCTCAACTCATCTATGAACTCTTCCATGCATGCTTGCTTCAATCAATAATGTACAGTGTTAAGTATGTCTAGACGAGTTCATTTCAATGTTAGGGGTGATATTTCTAGCCTTAATAACTACATCATGATGCATTTCAATTCTTCCTACTCTTTCAGCAAGAACTATTACATTTTGGAGGTTCTATCAGACAAGACTTGCAAATGCAACCAAATGAACAGCTCTGCTTTTAGATCACATGCAATTGGACTAGCATCAAAAACATCCAGTTAAACTATAATTCATTCAACATTGTTCAAGTTAAATCCAATGAGCTCTGAGCATCGATCTTTAAGCAATTGAGCTTTTAGCTTACTTGACTTTAGACAACTTTGGATTAAACTTAAACAAAAACTAGCACATTAAGTATTCAAAACTTTGGGTCAAAATTTTTTTTTGTAAAAAGACGAATGACCAGGGTGCAATTTCACAAAATCTTGAAGATGAAATTTTAAGATTTTAAGAATATCCAACAACCTAACTGGTTAATGAAACTAAATTTGAAATCAATGAAATTGTTTTGGAAGAGAATTGACTGATAAAATTTATACGATTCTGTGAAATAGCCTCTGCCCCGAATTACTTGATGTGCTTGTTTTAAGATATAAACAGTGTTAGTAAAGTACCTGGGTGATTATAATAGGAATAATTCTCTACAAGTTTCTGGCAATCTGGCTGAGACGTGCAACGTTCCAGTGGTTTCCCACCATACACATTCAAACAGTTGGAACTCTTCGACAGATTAGTCGACATCGATTTACTAGGTTTTTGTTTGAGACATGGTTTCAATGGTGTCTGTGGTTTAATAGACACTGGTGGCTTTGGTCCTCCACGTTTTAAACCAGTAGGATGTAAATTGTTTGAAGGTAGAGAAGTAGTTGTTGTGTTACTGGTTGCTTGCTGGGGTTTACCAACCTCTAATGGTCGCATTGGTGGTTGCTGTCTAAACTGTTGCTGTACCATGTTTGGAACTGGACTGCCATTTTGTTGATTTCGAATATTTTGAACAGGTGGAGAACTTTTGATGCCATTATTGTTTTGACCCTGACCATTTGCTTGCCTAATTGCCATATTTTTCTGTAACATTTGGCGAATGTCTGATTTGCTCATTCTGGGTTGATTGCGTAGATGTGAACGCAATTGTGGATCTGAACCACTATTGTCCGAATGAACACTTCCGTCTAATGAATTAGAAGTACTTGACCCAGATCCTGTCCGCGAATGTTCGACACCCTGATTTAATGCTTTTTGTTTACTTAAATAAGATTGATATAGGTCTTGTTGATTTTCTTTTGATAACTGAGTATTTTTTGTCCGTCTGGGCAGAGATCCGTACATTTCACTATTGTTCGATAATGTTGAACTTTGACTCAAATGTCCTGATATGGTTGAGTCACGAGAGTTTTGACTCATATGACCAGAAATTGTGGAGTCACGTGAGCCCTGACTAACGTGACCAGATGGAACACAAGTTCGAGAAGATGAGTTACTGTCTGTGTGAGAATGAATTATAGCACTTTTAGATGAATTATGATCAGATAATGTTCGAGACAAGTTGCGAGAGTTATCTGGTAGTCTTGTTCTATCCAGGTCAGTATTGAAAGGTCCTCCAGACGGAGAATGTTTCACTGATTGAGAAACAGAGTAACCCTTATCTTGACTATCTAACGTCTCTGTGGAACTGTTGATGCGACGTGTCCTGTCTTGAGATGCTCTAGAAATATCAGAATCTGTACTGTTGATACTTGATCTACAAAGAAAATAATAATGAAACATTCTCAAGATCAGAATTTTTGACTTTTGTCAGCAATTTGGTATCTTAATGAAATGAGGTGGAGAAAGGGAAAAAAAAAGATATGATATAAGACCATGATCAAACCAGGCATCAAAACCATCAAATCAAACACTGGGTTTTTTTTTTTATACAATAACAGGAGAGCTCTGTTGGTAGCATGTTGAAGTTTTCTCAGCTAGATGTTAAGGTTTGAATCTCCCCAAAGATTTCTTGTGCTAGAGCCAATGCTTTCGAAGATCAGCCTTCCTTAGCTTAACCTTAACAATTCTATAATTCTTAAACATAAACGAGCTAAATACCTATTATCAGTAGATCCTGTTAAATCATTTGCTGGCGAAAGTTTAGAGTCGGATCTCGAGGACAATATAGCATGAAGATTTCTTGCTTTTACCACACACGAACTATGGAGATTCGAGGCAAATGTTAACATTTGATGTGTTGAATTCTTTAATCCCATAGCATTCTTCAGATAACCTGTAAAAAAAATATTACGTCATATTTTCACATTAATTGATAAAGGAACATGCAGAATATCCGAGGGAAAACTATTTGATGCACAGATTAGACATGAGATGAAATTAGCAACTTACCAATAGCTGTATCACAATAATGTTTAGCAGAAGAGAAATCTTTATCTGCTTCAGCTATCATACACTGATCCATCAATTCCTCTGAAAATCTTATTAACGACATAAACTGTTCATTCTTCATAGCTACAAAATAATAACACAAAATTTCTATGAACATGTGAATATGCAAGACCATGACCAGTGAGGAGAAGTGAAGTTGATTATATTCTTAAATCTTAAGAATTCGGAGTTCAGAATTGGACGATCTTTCTTTGACTCATAGAGAGTCATCACCTATATCTATGGGCATATCTATTGGAATAAAAATCACTTAAAAGTTGAGGCAGTAATGAGGTTTTAAATATTACATCAACCCAATTTTCAGTGAAACAGAGAATTAGCCTACCTTCTCTTTCCAAGCCTGGTATAACATCTTTATTCATATCTAACTGTGGACATTCTTTCTCTACACTGTAATCTAAAAAGTAAAGGTTATTCTTAGTGTCTAAACACACTGTATCTTGATTTATCTCAGCTTTTATACATTTACCAGTAATCCTCCTATTGTAGCCTACATTTATCTATGGCATAGATCTCTTTGTCCTACAGCCATCAAGTGCACAGACTTAAAACTGAGGAAGAAATACCGAAAAACACTTACTTTTAACTGGCACTGGTGGAGGAATGTCTCCTGGAAGTTTACCATATTGTCTTCCTCCATTTGGCTTCACATTTGGTACAGTTTTGGACATGATTTTAGGTGGAGTAACATCATCTATGTTGCAGTAATTATGGTTGACTGGAGTTGGAGTAGGAACAATCATACCACGGGTCAGGAAAAACTGGTTGTAGGGATCCATGGTTACACTTCCTGTTGAACTGGAGCTGTTACGATCGCTACTACCATAGCCTGAGTCCTTATGGGAACCTAATGATACGTTATCGTAAGGTATTTCAACACTTAAGCCATGTTCTCTATTCAGTCCTTTTGAAGCCAGTAACTTGTTCATAAGACTGTCGTTACCATTACTGTTATTATGACTTGTAGTAGGGTCAGACTTCTGCTTCTGATAATCAAGAATGTTGGCCACCATCCTTCTATCAATATAAACCACTTTGTCATCAACAAATTCTTCAGGATGACGTTCAGAATCAGTTCCTCTTGGCAGAGAATTGCTTCTTTGGGGTGGTGGAGGCTTCTTCTTATCTGAAGCTCTTTTAACCTGAGCTACGGTCTTCCGAGTTTGTTTTGGTTTGGGAGGTTCTGGTTTTGATGAAGGACCATCTACTAAATCTCTCGAAGATTGTCTAGAATGAGTTCCTTGAACTGAGAGATTCCCCATTGAGGCTTGTCGAGTCATTGAACCTTGTTCGCTAGGGCTTTGTTTCTTTTTATTTCTAGGCAATGTAGCTATTCCGACATCAACTGGCGTGTGTGAGGAGTTGTTCATATTGTCATAGTTGACGTTACCAGATGAAGATTTGACAAGTCGATGCTGATTTGGGTTGACGATATCCGAATGGATGCTGAGGGAATCATCCAAATTCTGACCTTGGTGATGAGGTTGTCGTCCCGAATATGGGGGTGGACCTTCTCCAGGAGGAGGGCCATTGAAGCCTGTGGGTCCATAATCATTAGGATTGGTCACATATCGAATAACATCCGCTCGAACTTGTTTGGCTCCTTTCTTATTTGGCTCTTTCCTTTGGGCTTCATTTGGTCTCTGTTGAGAGTTCTGAGGAGGAATTGATGCCCCATTAGAATCGTAACCATTCATTGAAGGTCTTCGATACTGATCCCTAGTTGATAGCGTATAATTGTCCACATGACCTCTATGAGGTTCTTGACCTTGAGCATCATTTTGATGTTTGGATGCCATGTTAGGATTGTAGCCATAATCCATGTTCTCTTTGTCCAGGTAAGCAGCACTACCACCAGGTCTCAATGGAGCTCGTGGACGTTCTTTCCCAGACATGGCAATTAAGAAAGATGGCTGTCTACGATGATCGCTGTCAGTGCGTTTGGGTACATTATTAGGATCTGGTCTATATTCCTGTCCTGGTCTGGATCTTCTCTCTTTCTCCATTCCCGCGTCTGGATTGGGAGTTCTGGATCTGCGTGGAGTAGAATTCAAACTACTGATACTGTCGTGAGTTCTATCATGACCACTATCACTGTCATCTACCATTGGTCCTGAAATGATATAATCAAATGCACAATGTAGACTCTTCAAATGAGATGGGTTGGTATCTAATATTTCAGTACAATGACAATAACTAACACTTTTTATTTTCATCATCAAAAACCACATCACCAATCAAGTCCAATAAAAGAAATGACTAACACGATCACCGAGTAGCATCAACGTGTCGTGCTAAAGACTGAGCACACTCAATGCTTCTCACTCTGAAATTATTGCAGCAGAGCTCAAATCAATTTTTTTTTTCAATAAAAATACACTCCTGGCTACATATTCTTGAAACGATCTTAGCTCTAGGCCATCCTAGAAACAATGTTGATAGTTAAAGCCCTTGGACATCGTTTTCAGAATATGAGGCCTGGGTTCTTTCTAAGACAACAAACTAATGATCAAATTGACTTACCTGAAGTAAATCCTTGAGCCATGACTTTCTTTCTAGGAGCTGTATCCACATGAACAGGGTTAGCATTAGGATTAGCGTATATTAACAGTAAGGGCTGATATCTCCCTTTACCACATTTTTCTACTACATTCTCCCATCGTGGTCCAATCTACAATATATTGAAACAGAGTTAATTTCTTGATTAATGCACTAACAGTCTGTATCAATCAATAATTGAACTATTCTACCAGTTATATTTTACCTCCTATTGCTAAAACACCCCTTTTCATTTTATTGAACTCTTCCACAAATGCATACTTTCAATCAATATGATACAGTGTTTGCATGTATAAAAGAAGAGTTCATTCACAAAATCTGGGATGTTTAAGACTTATTATTTCTTGTTTTTCTTCAACTAAGCTCATTAAAATTTCTCTGCAGCCCTCAAAATCATGAATTTTTAATTTCAAATCAGACAGAATAAGATATTAAATGCAACTAACAATTGAAAGTGTGAAACTTAAAAAAAATTTAAATTTTAATAATTAAGAGTATCAGCAATATTAGTTTACCTCACGAACTGTGGCGTCATCAAAATAAATCCAGACTTTCTGTTTACTATGGAATAAAAAGGTGGAGTAATGTTTGCCATAGTAACAGACCAAGCCTACCAGGTGTAACTTAGGTAACGTTTTCTCATCTTTCATCACCGAATGAAATACCTGAAAAGAGAAAATCAAGTTTGAAATAAAATCAAACGTCAAACGTCTTTCTTTTCTGTTTCTGCGTTTTAGAATCACTATCTCAGTAAAGTTTTCAGGGAGGCATATTATTAAAAAAAAAAACACTAATATATCATATTATTATAACTTTGATTGGGGAATATATCTATATTTCTGGTGCATTACACATTAGCCAATTATATTTTAATCAATTTATCACACAACTCAATATTTTAGATATAGGCCTATTCTTTCACAGTCCTAGATCATTAGATCGAAAATCAATAACTTGAAAATTGATAAACTACTCATGCATGAATAGGAAAGATGTTTGGACATTAAAATTTTATACTGCTTCTCTAAGGAAAGAGCATGTCATATCATGCATTACAAAGATCACATTTGCATATTGCAATTCATAATGTATTTTCTGACGGTTCTACAAATTTTCAAATACAGATATACCTTCTTTTAAGAGGGAATTTGCACATGCATTCAAAAATTTAATTCTCCTTTTCAGATACACAGTTATTAAGTGTATAGTAACAAAAGAGTAACTTAAGCATGCTAAATGCAATATGCAATGTTACAAATGCACACGTTCAGGTGCTCCAGCTCATTGATAATTTATTGCCCTAATGATTACTATGATATAACCGCAAGTTTGAAAAGATTGGGTCAAGACAACCTAACCCTGATGTTTCTATGCAACTATACAACACTATAACTTAAATCAATATCAATCTTTTTAACAAAGAAATAAAAACAGTATTTAACGTGGTGTCAATTACTGAGATATACACATAGAGTGGAATAATAATTGATTATTGCTGTAAAGATAAGAAATAAAGTGGATAGAGTTTTACACCTCACTTTTCTGCAACTTAGCAACCTTTGTGTCAATATAATACAGTATGCAGTGAGACCAATATTGCAATGAAAAACTTTTTTATTTTTTCCAACTGTTGAAGGATCTTTAACCTATACAGCTTGTAACACACAAGTTGCAGTCTTTTCAATTGAAAGAAAAATCCAATCAACTTACATCTTGTAGTAAAATGGTGGTACCAATATTTCGAGCTACTTCTGTAGTCATTTCTACTGTAGGATGGTCACATTCCCACACTAAACCAATACTCACTGAAATTATAGTAAACAATGGCATTAAAATATGACAGGATGATATAAAGAGGTGATGTAGCGCCAGCATCTCTACATGGCAGTGAATAGCTCAGTTGGTAGCGAGTTGGATTGTCATCTGCTTGGCAATTAAGTACTGTGGGTTTGAATCCTCCGGAATGTAAGAAATTAAGATGGCCAATGGTTTTGGAGAATCAGCTTTCATCCTTTAATCACTACTAATGTCTTGTTTTTAAGAAAAAAATCAACCAAGCATTTTTAAGAGCCTTTTTAGCTTTTTTATTAATTTGGTGATTTATCAAAATGTAAAAAAAAAGACAACGCTTACCGACATCAGGACAATTCATTAAAGTTCTGCGAATTGGTACTTTTTTACCTCCACAATTACCCTACAGAAGAAAAATCATAAAATAAAAATTTATTGGAATATTTACACCAAATAGATATATTAATTTGAAAGTTCTGCTCCCTTTAGATCTAACAAAATGTGAATGGAGATGTAAAGTTTGACATAAAATACCAAAGTTGAAATGTAATGGAGTTGTATATCTTATAGCACTTATGAAATGTTCTTTAGGAAACAGTGAACTCTAATGGATTTTTACACCCAAATAGAACTAGTGAAATGATATTTTGAGAAAAAAATGTTTGTATATATTGATAAAAGATAAAGATATATACATATATTACAATCGATTATGTGATAAAAAATAAAAAATCGTATCATAAAAAATATAGGGTTAGTAGAACAGTGATCAATATATTATACCAGGTTTACTATTGTTATAAATCTTTCAGGTAAACAACTTGTGTACAAGTGAAAAATATCTGAGTGATCTAACTCTATAATGTCAATATGGAGATATATTAGGACTTGTGAACTTGTGCATATTACTATGCAATAATATGTATTTAAAATGTCCACTGCATTGATTTCATAGAAATAACTGAATGGTATTTTATTCATGTGTAACATAACACAATTTCTAAAGAAAAACAGAAAAGAAATGGTCAATAAACAACAGAGATTCAGCTAGATAAATATTTTACATGTTTAATTGACAACTATATGACAAAGTGACACTCTGAAAACTCATCGAATTACATTGAAGATTATAGATATATCTATACTTACAGGACAATCTCTAACGTCTCCTTGTGTACTGGCATTACGTAACAATAACCCAAATCTTTCTGGGTGTAACATATCTCCTGTTTCATGCATAGCTCGAGCTTGAGCTCTGAAAGTTGAAAATTAGACATATTATACAAAAATCAAATACAGGACATTATTTTAAAAAGTGTCTCAAAAACGAGGTGTTAATAAGGTCTATTGGAGCCCATAAAAAAAATCAGAAAACACTTACACTAAAGCACTAGATGATATATAATGAACCATTTCATGAAATTTTAATGGGTTGGAAGTGGCACCACATGGACAAATAACCTGTAATAGAGAGAGACATAAACAAGGTTATTATATAGAATCAACTGTGTAGATGGGTATATCACAGTTTCACTTGAATACAGGTAGAGATTGATAATGGGGCAGAATAAAAAAAATTACTGGTAGTCGCTTTGATGAATGAATTAAATAAATGAAAGATCGAGCCTCTATTATTCAAGAGAGTTTAGGGTAAAATTTGCTGCTCATTTCTAACGCTAGTTTTTGGGCAACATAAAAAATATCAGGTGTAATTTATCAGATTTGTTTATTTTTGTTTGATTCTTTTTCATCGTGTATGAGATGTTGTTTGTGATTTGATGTTTGATCAACTGTGATACGACATTGTGTATCACATATTCTCTTATCCAAATTGAAGTTAGTGCATCAGAATACTTAAAGTTGAATTTAACTATGATACCTTTCTATGTATGTATTAACATCATGCAGGTAAATAAAAACCTGGGATATGTTTTGTGGTTTGATATTTGCATAATGTATTTAATTCATTGTTCAAGTAAAAGTGTTAGTATTGTTAGATCTATTTGACTTTGATGCTTTTTTTATGTTCAGTAATAATGCCACAAAGGCAAATACAAGCTTAAACTGTTTGACAGATTTTTTTGTCTTCATACAATTAATTTGGCTTTGAGGCATTTTATAACATTTACTACTGCCACGCAGGTAAATAAAAAACACAGGGATGTGATGAATATTTAATTAGAGTTGATTAGAATTCAGGTATATAATATACTGAGAGGATGAGAATGTCACCAACATGTCTACCAATGATAGATGAGATGTCAGTAGGTGAACTTGTTTTAATTTATCAACCACCACCTGGCCTGACCTTATTTACCTTATTATTCATTAGGCTATTTACATATTTACTATAAATTTTACTATGTTTTAGGACAGTGAGACAGAGTAGTCAGTAGAGAAAGGAAGCCATAGATTTGATTCCCTCTCTCTCTCTACAGCCAGAGAGATCTCAACCACCACCTGGCATGACCTAATTTACCTTAACATTCATTAACATATTTACTACAAATTTTACTACCTTTAGGACAGTGAGATAGCTTGATTGGGGCAGCCCATTATGTGTTTTTACTAAATTCACAAACAGTGCCTTATAATACATTTTCAAGAATCATACAGAAAATAAACTAAACTTCAAATATTACTGAATTTAACATTTCAAAGACTATTATTATACTATTTTATTATTTCAGTTTCTGCATTTCTGATTGACATAATTTCCTGATGAGAAAAATGGTGAAAAATACTAGATTTTCACATCCTCAAATCTTCTCAGTCAAAGGCCCTTAAAATCAAAAGTATTAAAGTTATCTATGAAGGGTTTTGACCTCAATATTTTTACTACAGCCCTTACAACTGATATATTTACTAATATGATATCAGTTATCACAATTTTATTTTACCTAACCTACTTACAATATGACCTTCAATCAGATATCTAGGGTATGTATTATCAGATGCACACTCAAAGACTTTAGATAAAAGGGGCATGTACTAAAACATACACACGAAAATAGGCATACAGTCGCTTTTATCTTTGTAGGATTCAAGTATCATACCTTTGTTGACAAAGCGACTTTTTTAAAATGCTAATTTCAAAATTCTTTACATTTTCATATCATCATTTCATCTTAAAAGCAAAATGTCAAAACTATTTACAATATCATGTGTCTTTCTTCAATTTAAATGCAAAATGTCAAAAGCTATCTTTTTCAATGGTCCAGGTTAAGTGCACCTTAGATTTTTTTTTACCTGTTAAATGACTTTATGTCTTTATGCATTAAAGAAAATTGGAGACAAGTTTTTTGAAGCACGTACAACTTTACGTGCATATTGAAACCCGTTTTGTTACAACTTATAACAACTTTGACATTGTTGCAAGATAGTGCACAAGTCTTTTATTTGACATTGAGGTACTCTGCCCTTTTGATAAGACAAGTTACTTCACTACTGATTTGATAAAAAGTCGAGTTACGCTGCTAACTTGTAATGAATGGAGTTTTACATCCTACTTTAAACCATCTGATTATACAAATGAAGATGGGCACGTTAACGTTAACGTGAAAATTGCATGATTCATCTGATACGAACACTCGAACTGATAAAAATCATTGAAGTGAATTGTTAACTAATTCATAATCTTATTACTACTAAAAACAATGTCAATTCAACACATTTCAATCTACCTTTCACTCTGAATATCATGTTTTATTTATTATTAGCCCCAAGGTGAATATCAGAGCCAGTCTTATTAAGGTACTGATTAACTTATTGTCTTGTTATCACGATCTTCACCGATATCTCTTACAACTGAATAACAGAATTATTATCATGCTTAGAAAATCAGACCGTTCATCACATACTAAATCACATTGTAACTTTGTAATATGGGCCATCTTGAAATTGTAAAGATAAGTAGCTGTGATCATATCATACATGAATATCATGATATCACTTTTAACATTAACAACATTGTTATCACAATAAAAAAATGTGGCAATTCATCATTAAATCAGTCACAAACCATTTTTGAAAATAGATGAATGGGCAACACAAGAAATCATGACAGAGAAATACGGCCCTTTTCACAATAAGAATGTGTCTTAGAATACCTTTTGTATTAATTTCTTCAGTCAAAGCTGTCACCTAGCTCACACCATTTCGAATTTTATATATTGAGTATGATGATAAATTTTTAAACATTTTATTCAAGGCAAGTTTGGTGTTTGTCTTTTGAGGTTTGTCTTAATTCAATGAAGCCAGTCATTATATAGATAAATAATAAATAAATAATAGAAAAAAGAAAATGGGAAGAGGATATTCTATATGTGGTCTGGTTTCACTTGACTTCAACTACATAATGGCATTAAATAGGTAACAAATTTATCGCATCATTAATCAGTCAAGGGACGTAACTCTCCCAGAGTATTTTCCCACTTGTGTTGAAGACACAGTCCAATTAGAACACCTGAGAAATTTTCAATCTAAATCCCTGAGATGTCCTATCATTCCCATTACACGCTTCAATACATTAATAGTATGAATTATCTCCCTTGATGGTTCGCATTACCACAAAAGACAATGGATGTTACTCAAGGTATGAGGATGTATAATGAAATCATTATGTTTACGATAACCCTTGTCAGGTGTCAAAATGATGACATTAATTCAGTATTGGCTTGAAGGTGATTTGTTTACTAAAATAGTGGTCTTGTTCCTTGTTTGATAAACAATAAACAAATCTTTAACTCTTGACAACATTTAATTTTTTGGGCTGTTGGTTGGTTAGAATATTTTACAGCAGACATTTTAAATAGAATTTGTGTCTATTTTCATTGACCCCCAAAATTTCCTTTTCTTTTAATGAAGGGGAGGGGGAAGCAACAAGTTTTTAATTTTCATGTAACAGAACACTTTAAAACATTGCTATTTCTTAACTTTTCTTTATTGCTATACAAATATATTTAATAACCCTCATTCTCCTATGCCAATATAAAATATTAATATTTTATTATAAAAACTATGAAATTCAACAACTTCGTATTATTGAACATTTTGGATTCTAATGAAACATGATCTACTAATAGGTCTAATTAACATCCTTTTCTATGCATCCTGTACAATTTTTAGTTCAATGTTTTTTTTATGAGATAACAAATCAATTACTATTATCAAATAACTTTCAAGGAAAAATGTGCTTATTCGTCAAGTTTAGTAGTTTTTTGGGGTTTTTTTTTTTATCAAGTTAGGAGGAAGTAATTATACAATTTACAAAGATTCAAAGGAAATCAATATCAAAAAACTTCCCATAATATCACACATTTACTTGTCAACGAATTAACAAGTGGATAATTTATTACAAAATAAGATAAGATTATCAATTTCAAAACAATATCTCTCATTAATTTTGACACATTGTATAACAACACGTATCATAATATTCAGGATTTAGCAGTATGCATATTTTAACAACATTATTGGCCTGTTTTGATGCTAAACTTTTTTAAAGTTTTCTTAAAAATGGTCTATCATGTGAAAAATGGTCTATCATGTCAAAAGGACTCTAATGACCATTTTATTGAAGGTCTGTAGAAGTGTTGTTCAATATTTGTTGTTTTTAGACATAGTTGTTCCTGGTGTGAATTGGTCAGTGTTTAACCATCAATAAAAATAAACAATAGTCAAGGTGTAACAAAACATGCCACAGGTGTCAAAATAAATAAACAACAACAATGTAGATCGAAATAGTTGCATTGTCAGAGGTTTGGACATAGGTGATTAGTGTATGTTTGAGAGAATTAATGCAGTAAGGAATGTCTGATGTGATGCTGTCGTTCTTATCATGAAGTTTTGTTGGTCAGTTAAATGAATCAATTGTTTAGTAGGTTAAAGATCTTTAACCCTGTGATGAGCTTTACTCCAGAATAATGACAAGCATTGTACCATGCTGACACTTGGACATAAAATTTTAAATATTGCAGATCCTGATCAGCATTTAAAAGCCCAATTTGCCTTGCTTTGACAAATCGAACATATATGCTAAAAGTCATATCCATTCCGATGCAGGTTTTATATCATAAAAACACATGTTTACAGCATGAGCTGATTAAATCAGGAATAATTTTTAAACTTTTCAAAAATCAAAACTGAGATATGCAGTGTACAATGAGGGAAATTTAAGCAGAGTTGGCCTGCATAGACATTGCAACTGAAGTATACAAAAGCAATACATACCTGGTCAACCACCTGCATAGCAAACTTCTGATGAGGTAAACAGTGTGGGGCATTACATGTGTCTTCTTCACAATCATTAGCGATATGGAAATGGATACGACGTAAAATATTTTCCTGAAAAAATATAAAAAATTCAAAATTAAGGGAACATTTACAGAACTCTGATTCTGGTTGAAAAAATGTAATTTATTGATCAAAACGATACCTCACATATAAAAATAACATTTTTACGTAATTAATTTTTTCCATCGGGAACATATCTTTGCGCAATCAAAATAATTTTTGTCATGGAAAGGGCGAAACTCTCATTGTTATTTGAAAAACTTCACTGGTTACATGTTTCATAATTAAAAGAAAATGTATCTCTTTTAAACCACTCATAGATAACTAAGTTTTATCAAATTAATATAATAATTAATAAACTAATGAATATACTTCTTAAATTTCATGCAGTTTCCAATGATGGAAAGTTTATCATTATAATTAGAAGTGATTATTAAAGCAAAAAAAAATATTGATGAGGGCAAAATAATTAGAAATCAATGTAATATTCAATTTGAATATAAAAATTGCAATTTTTTTTAATGATTATTAATGAAAATAATATCTACGAGTTAAATACGACCTATTTATTACGAACAGCTGTTACGTCTGATTATTACAATTTTATTTCACGTCATAAAATTATCGATTTTTTTAAGAAATAATTCCATTTTTTGTTCAAGGCGCCGAATAATTATAAATTCAATATATTTTTATATTTTTTTTATGAATATAATTGAATAGAGCCTTTCATTGAACTTTTTTTTTACCGATGCAGTTTTGGTGTGTTTTAAGCGACACTGAGATTGTAAAAATGTAATGAATATACAGTTAGTCAATTGTAATATAATATATGTATAGCAATTACAATTTTAAATTACATTACTGAATCAGTTATTCATTCTTAACAGCTTGCAATTATTGTGAAGTGGGTGTATTCAAAAAGGCATATCATGTTCAGTCCATTGGAACACCTGATGCAAATTTAAAACTGGTTTTTTGATCTTATTGAACAGCATTATCATACATGAACACTGTATTATTTTTGTTGCATTATGATCTAGTGACATCTGAAACTTCACCAGCCACAACTTTATTGTGTTCATTCCTTCAAAGTTGATTGTGCATGAATCTATATAAGATGTGAATCACTATATTTAACTGTTCGCATGCATGTGCATAACCATCTGTGACCTAATTTGTTATAGAGAATTGAAATGGTTATATATTTACAGAGTTACCAGAAGAAATTTCTACATTGGCTATGTATTTAGATCTCCTAATGATAAGTTAGCTATATTACACATGCTAACTCTTCATGGATCTTTTTTTCCCTATGTGCATATTCATTTGAGACCTATTTTGTTATAGAGAATTTGAATGGTTATAAATTCTATATTGGCTATTCTGTATTTAGATCTCCTAATGATAAGTTACCAATATAATATTTGATTTATTCGTAAACGATAGACTTGGCATGTTATTGATACAGGTGTGTCCGGCTGTCAGTCAACCTGTCTAACAGATCAACAAGTATACACCTACCACGCATTAAGCTGAATGTTATTTATCATCTATTGATAAGACAAACTGACCGATTAATTTGTTATTCACTTTTCTGATAATGCGGAAAATAATTTGATAGGTTTTTTTTAATCTTTTTCTGATCTTTCTATCGATATAAACTTTCTATTCATAAAATCTGAAAAATTCATTTGTGTGTGATAATCTGATTTCTCTAACAGACAAGCTGACCACATCATTCATTGTATATATTTCTCTGATAAAGACCAAATTCTCAATAGATTTTGTCAGATTATTTTTGGATTGTTTTTATCAAATTGCTCATTGATCAAAGTGTCAATGCTTGAGAAAAACTGCATTGAGGAAAAACAGGAGATTTTTTTTCTTTATCAATTGTTATCTATCAAAATTTCAAACACTGGTGATGAATTGTTGCATGTGTTAAGCAATAAGGTAAAAAATCTTTTGAAGACTTTTCTCCAATTCCTTTGATAAATAAAATGCATTCCAATTTCAAAGTTTAAAATCTTAAGATGTACTGAAGTATGTATATATATATCAGATATTAACTATTAAAACAGAACCTAAAAAACCATGTTGTTTATGCTATATGATCTTCAGACAATCAAAAATTATAATGATTTCTTTCAAGGCTGATTGATCCAATAAAATGTTGTCAACCAAAGCTTCGATAAGCTGAGAGGTAGGACATCAGTTGGGGAGCTTCAGAATATAAACTAGATCAATGCGAAAGTTTTGGCACACATTTGTCAAGAAGGTGAAGTTTGTCACAAAGATTAATCTTAAAGCGAAAACAGGAGCATATTGATGTACCACGACAAAAACCTTCTTTTGATGTTTTTAATTGATATATTGTGTTGTCATGGTAACATATTGTAAAGTAAATATTGTTAAGATTTAATAAATATAAACAATGAAGGGTGATCTATTTTCTTTATAGACATCAATACTGTTTAATCAAATCTTCAAAGGGAGTTAATCTATTATAAACAAACAACAAACACACACTAATTCGATAAGGGTCATGGTTTTTGTAGTAGACATGTTCATAAACAAACTGTTAAGTCTTAGAAATATGTATATGGACCATTTCCAATATGACTAAAAATTCCTTCCATGCATGGTTTATAGCATGTGAACATTTGTATCATGTGAAATAAAAATTCCCATACATGACCATTATAATATGCCAATATAAATTAAGTGTCCATCTGACAGTAACCTTTTACATTTAGTAGGATTTGAAATTTAGAGAAATATTAATTAAATGCCAAATCTTCATCAAAATACATCCCAAGATATTTCCACACATGAGATTGAAAATCATTAAGTGCCTATACAAAATCATATAATCTATTAACATGTATTATTACTGGTCATATATTTTCCATAAACCTATATCTATACTAGATATATAATATTAATGATCTGGAAAATTACCACCATAAATAATAATGTTAAACATAGACTAGTTGAATAGACATCAATCTGTTTCTTATTTATAGTTTTACAGCTTGCATAGGAATTTTTCTGAACATAATTAAACGTTTTACATAGAAACATTTGTGAACATAACTGAACATTTCGATTTTAGTTGTACATCAGACATAACAACTTTTCTTAACATAAATGAGCCGAGAAGAGTGACAACAAAACAAAATATTTAACGATATATGCAATATGAGATAGATTTAAACATTTAAACCCAAGATAGCCATTTTTTTAATGAAACGATGTCAAGATTCCAATACTCTTACTAGTTAAACTACAGTCTGTTTTCAAAACCCTATCCTCATATTAACACAAACATAACAAAATACTGTACAATCTTATACTTACAAAGCATTCTGCGGCATCATCCATATGTCCCAATTGGAATCTCTGCTGATTAGCAAACGTCTCGGCCAATGCTTTCCGTAATGCATCAGGATGGAGTGATTTCTGGTCACTGTATTGAAATTGTGTAAATATAATCTGAAAAGATAAATTTATTAACATATAAAACTTCATCTTTCAATTAACTCGTGAATTTACTTAAAGTCTGCAAAAAAATTTCTTAATATGCTCACATAATGACAATGAATTAATCAATATACATACCATGTTTCTAAAAAGTCAAATCAACCAGATTTATAGTATTCTAGCCATCTAGCATTTTACCTAGTTTTCAGATTTTTTTTTCTGTGATTCATCAAGAATTCAGAAGTGAGTATCGGATAAAATATTTATTGACGTCAAAAAAATTGACAGAAAATATTTATGAAAATTCGTCAAAACATGTCTTAATTATCATTAACAAGTTTTTTTTTATTAATTATCGAGGGATGATGAATTAGGTGACAAAGTTATCAACTTTTTTTTTTTTACAAAAAACAGTTCAATTTTCTACCATCCCACACCATTTTATCTCTAAATAATTTATCGAAATAATTGTGGTCATCAAATTAAATTTTTCTTTTTTGCGAAATATCTTAATTAATCAAAATTACGCATAAATTAGAATCTTCAAATTTTATCTTTGAAAATTAAATTTAAGGAAAAAAAATAATTGATAGAGAGTGTTTACAAAGAAATCAAGTAGTATAGATTAATTTTCGTTTTTTTTTCTTTAAGTGGCTCATGCTGCATTTGTGTGTTTCAGATATGAAATCCTCATCAGGACAAATACCACCATCTCAATGTACTTATTAACAAGTATTTAAAGTATTACATTTACGTTTCACTTTTTAAATCAGACCCAATAAACATCAATTCTAAAGAGTCAAAACTTGCCCCATGCCAGTTTAATTATTTTCATTATAATATAATTACTACCTTCACTAATAAATAGGTATATTAATCATAATTATCAATATCTATGTTTTACACACCTATAATCAACATGTGGTCAACTTAGTGTTATAAATTCCATTACTAAGATTGCAATTAATAGTTTGCTAATGATCTTTATTGTTTTACTGATAGTAACAACCAAAATAATTGATTAATCCTTTAGCGACATTTAGGGGTAGAGATCACATTAAATAACAAACACAACTAAGGAGTAGTATACCATAAAATTGTGATCTGTTATTTAAAATAATTAATTGTATTTGCCAGTCATGTTTGACTGTAGCTCCAAAATATCTGATTTTGGTTTTGATTTTAGCAGGAGTTATTCACTGAAGTATATAGAAATTTTAGGCCTTTTATATTCGCAAAGGCACTATCATAGCTCCACCAAATCTGAAAAACAATTCCCTACTAGTGAAATTTGCCCTGTAAATCATGCTTTTGAACAATTTAAGCTCTCAACTAGGGTACTTCCAGGACTTAAAGTGCTATAATGCCCTCTTAAGAAAATTAGTTATAATACTTATTAATAAGTATATTATTAAGACTACTTAGTAAATGATATTCATTACTGACCATTGTCTATCTAAATTGATATGTTAACACCATCATACTGGTATAATCATATCTACTAATGACTTTTATTAATAAGATTTATCATTCCTACAGAGAATAACAGTTATTAACCTACTGGAGCTTAATTTACCATTGGTAATTAACAACTATCAAAGCAGTGGCGGAGCTAAGTTTACGTCCGAGGGGGGCGAAATATCCCCCGAAAAGCTTGCTTTCGGTGCTGCGAGGGGGGGCGGCTGACCTTTGGCTCTGCTACTGTATTAAATACCTGCTCTTTTTATTCCTAATTGCATTCAATCAAGACACATTTGTTTTTAAGGGTTGTAGCATTTAATTTGTTACATTCAAGTGACTAAATATTACTTGTTATTGCACTTTTTCATCCTTGCAATTCTGGCAGGTAAAAAGCATCTAGCTGTTGGAATGAGACAGTAAACTTAGGTCCTGTGTGCAAGACAATCACATATTGTGATATTAATTACATTTTCTGATTGCATTATATCTTTGTGAAATAACTTAGTGATGTATAAAAGCTACAATATAATGACAGATTGGATAATCTACTTTGTAATTTTCTGATTAAACTATATTTTCTAGCCATTTAATAATTAGTTCTGTTATAAACCTATAATATTATGACGGGTGATGATAGAATATAGAGATGTAGGAAGACAAACTGACAAAGCCTGTCAACAGCCTCTATTATAATATCTGTATTAATACAGGGCTTTGTCCGGTGTTTACCTGAAATATTGACTGTTTTATATGGAGACAAATGACTGAGTTTAAAATCAATAAATATCTAACAATAACTCAGCCTTACAACAGCTGTAATAATCAGTAGGCTACAAACACACTTCTACAGTTTTTCTTTTCACAGTTAATTCAAATTGGATTTTTCATATTTAGGTTAAAATTGATTAAAATTGATTAAAATTTTCTATTATGAATTGCTAAACTAGTGCCCTTCAATATTTTTCTTTTCATAGTTAAAAGAAACATTTTTTTTTGTTAAAAATGACTAATTATACTTTTGAAAGAAAATCATTCAATTTAATCAAAGGCAGCTATTTTTCTTTCATAGTAATAACAAATTTCTGTTATTAAAGGAAAGAAGGAGGGAGACTTTTACAGGGGCAGGTTTAAACCAAATGTAAAATTTTTTCAGGGCACATTGTTACCTTTACATCCCCATAAACTTATGTGTATTGCCCGGAAGGCAATTTTATGAAATCCTTACTTTTGTTTCTTTAAGCTCACCAATCATATGATTGGTCAATCAATAAAATTGATTTAAAATCTCACTTTATTAACCAATTAAATTACTGTATTCTTAAAATTTGAGTTTTATCTTAATCAAAATTCTGTGAAGCCTAGCCCTTAAAGTAAATGTTGGTAACTATCTTTTATGGCTTTGAAAGCTGTCCTCAGACCAGTGTCTGGAAATTAAAACCTATGCGCTAAATGTCAGTCTGCTTGCTTCCCTTGTGTGCATCTAAAACAATAAATCAGTGTCCTAATGTTACCTCAGAGAGACAATAGTGAGCAGCCTATTGATTGATGTAACTTGTGTTTAATGAAGGAATGAGATTTGACAGTTCACTGTTGTTATTGGGATCATCTCTACAATGTCATTGTAAACTTTATTTAAACTTGAATGTCACCTTATCTCCAAACCATGTTCAATATCAGGGGCACCTGTTTTGTAAATTCTTCCATTGCCAAGAAATTGCATAGAAAAAACTTGAGTTGGGATATCTTGACTGTTTGAAACATCTATCAAAATGTCATTTCCTATATCGGGATAAAAAATACACAAAATGTTTTTGATGTTCTCTTTATCATATACTTCAATAGAATGTACTTTTGAATTTTGGCAATGAGCAAGAATCTTCAGAAGAGAAATTGAATGAGGCAACAGCAGCCTTTAATCTCCAAAACTTAACTAAGGTAAAATCCATTTCAAAATATTAAAAACTCTTTCAAATACTTGTAAGGTATAAAACTTGAGGCTCAATGAAATGAAACTTTAAGTATTTGAAAATTGAGAAGTTGAAGAAGTTTAATAAGGGTCTTTTTACGATACCTATTGACCTTTTAAGGTCGTTAAAGTATCGTTTATCTATAAAAACACTTCTTTTTAATTTAGTATTAGTTCAAGTTACATATATATGTAAAAAAAATATGCATAGTTGAGTTTCAAGCGTGACTAAGGCACACGCTTTGTGTTGGTTTAATACACTACTCATTCTGTTTGTTTACTTACTTTGTAAAACAAACTTTCATTTTATTTACATTGTCGTAACCAATTATAACTTGGACAATGCTTGTTCAACATCGTCGATAGCTTACAAGTAGCATTTATCCTGTTTCAATCAATTCAATCAAGTGTCTTGATTGAAATTTGTTAAAATCAATCAAATTGACATATCAAGTATGTATGTCAAATAGTTAAAAGTCAATCAATCAGACCCAGGTTTTTTCAAAATTTTATGATAAAAATTTGTAATTAGTATAGATTTTTTCAGGAACTTTGATTGAAATGATCAGGAAAAAATGGTTGTTGCCAACAAATTCAGAGAAGTTGTATGCAGCAGTTAACAAGTTTAACATAACTCTAAATCAAATGATAATTGAAAATTAGTCTTACCTTTAAAGCACAGAAAATACAGGAATTTCCCATACAGGTGTGACCATTGAGTCTTCTATAACTTCTTCTAAATACATCAAGATGCCAAAACACCTGCAAAATATAAGAGACAACACATTAGGACTAAGGCTAATTTATTATCAAATGGGGTGCATTTTTCTTTCCTCAACAATGATAAGTGTATTAGTATTTTTTCCTTGATTGAAATATAGTTTTGTAGAAAAATGTATGGATATAATATGGCATGGGTGTGATGGTGTTATGTGGCTTTGATGTAATGTGGCATAGGTCTCATGTGGCATAAGTGTGATTGTGTAATGTGGAATTGGTTTGATGTGGCATAGGTGTGATGTGACAATTATGTGATGTGGAATTAGTGTGATGGTGTGATGTGGCATAGGTGTCATTAGGCATTGATGTGATAGTGTTGTGTGGCATTAGTGTGACAGTGTCATGTGGCATTGATGTAATACAGCATAGGTTTGATGTGGCATAGGTGTCATGTGGCACTAGTGTGATGGTGTCATGTGGCATTGGTTTGTGGCATTAATGTGATGTTGTGTGGCATTAGTGTAATGATGCAATGTGGCATCGATGTAATGGGCTATATTTCCATGTTATATACGTCATGTTATTTATTACTTGTCAAAATAATAAAAATGTGCACTTATCAAACTGTTATCAATATTGCTAAATCTTTTGATGTATATACATAGACATGTGTAGGAGTCATTACAAAAAAAATGGTTGAATTCAATGATGTGCAGCCACTCCTTTTGATCGTGACTATTTTTAAGGTATAACACCCATGCTTCTATAGGTATATCCAATAACATATAATACAGGTTATGAAATAAACCTATTATCTTAACACAAGTATATTGTAGGTTATATTTTCACAGAGGATCAGGTTACAGTTTCACCTGAGAGTGGAATTTTCAACAATATTTTAACAAGGTTGAATAAGACCAGGTAACAATAAAGGTGTAAAGGAATGGAGATACTATATTTTCTAAAATAACACTACCTATATATTAAGTACAGTAGAGGCTGATTATTGGACGATCTTTATTATAGTAATTTGGCCTTGTATAGGATGTATTTTCATAGTTCTCTATTATTAGAGACGATTTTGACTGGGACCCTGAAGGGTTCTCATCTACCCTGAGAAAAAATATTTGTTTTTAGAACATCTTTCTTGAAGAAAAGTCCAAAGTCAGTCAACTTACAAGGCAATTCAAGTCAGACCACAATCATTTCAAAAATTCTTGTAAATAGCAAACTTTGTTTTAAGTTGGACCTATCAACTTAAATTTCTTTTGAGAGTCCACTCATCAAATACTGTTACATCACAAATAATCAAAGCTCCATACATTTCAAATCCATTATATTTGGGTTATTGAATTTTATTTTTGAGTTTTATATTTAGTAATTAGCAAGGATTTAAGAAATCTGAAAGGTCATCCCTTTAAAGAGTTCCTTCATTTTCATATTCAGAGTTGAAATGAGATTTTAAATCAAAGAGACAAATCTGTTTCATGTCATTAACTTAATCAATAAATTGAAATTGTAGAAATTGAAGTAGACAAAGTTCAATATAGGTTGATTGGACAGTCACCTCTTCACAGGTACTTCATCAAACATCAAAGGGGAATAATCACCTCTCATTTCCCTTTCCACCTGAAGCCTGGACAGGAAGTAGTGTTTATAAAGGATTGATTTAATCTACCGCAGTAAGATCCACGATATGTCCTTTGATCTCAGCCTATAATAATTGATAATTGCTAAAATCAATATTATTGTAATATCAATGAGTACCTGATTTACCTGGTCCTTATAAACTAGTTTTAATCAAGCAAAATTGCCTACATGATTACCTGATGTACCTGGTTCTTATAGACCAGTTCTAATCAAGCAAAATTGCCTACATGATTACCTGATGTACCTGGTTCTTATAGACCAGTTCTAATCAAGCAAAATTGCCTACATGATTACCTGATGTACCTGGTTCTTATTGACCAGTTCTAATCAAGCAAAATTGTCTATTATTGTAACTGATGGTTTACTCTGATTATTAAGTCCATGTACATTGTCTAGTCTTCAATATGCCTTCCAGCATATTCATTCAATTTATATTAGCAGTTTAACTGATTAAACTTGAATAACTTGTGTTAGGATTTAATTATTCCTCACCTTTGACAACATTAACTAATTCAGGTATAAACTAATCAATTTGCACATTCAGGGGTTCGGGGACAGGGAGGGGGTAGAGGGGGTAGAGCCACAGAATTGTCATGGGGGAGAGATGGGTTCACAGGCTTTTCACGGAGAGGGAACTCAAAAGATATGCCACTATGTCTACATTTCTGTATTTCAAATCAAACTAAATGATCTGAAAATGAAAAAGAATGAATCACCTGACAGGTATGACATGGTAGGGAAATGAATTGGTTTGTAATGAGTGCTTTTGAGGGTTTGAAATTGGAGGGAAATCTAGAGAAATTAATAAGGCAAAACTGGACGATTATGGCAAATAAAGACTGGATGTAAAAGAATACCATTATACCTGCATAAAATTATGTAACAATGGATTGTCACTGTCCTCAGACAGTTTCTTCCATTTCATCATTTTGACACAATTTAAAATTCAAATATCCTCTAGAAATTTAAATATCACATGTTGAGTCACTTCAAATTCATAAAACTTTCCTTGACACAATTTCTACTTCACATGATTCAATATTCCATATTTGACACAGAAAAATCCACGTTTAAATAGCTAAATAGATCCTGATACACATTCAATATTCTACCATCCATTTCACACGACCCACAGGTGACTACAAGTATTATTAAGTTCAAACAGGAAAAGGCATAATTCAAGAGGAAAAACTACATCATTGTAATGTAAATAACTATTCACCGATTCACCATAGTTAATTCTCCAATCCTCTTTAGTAATTCGCATAATAATACATCGAACGTCAAATGTGTCACCAGACGACCATATTGAAACCCACTAGTTACCACTCCAGTTTTAAAACCAAATATTGAAGAGATTTTGTATAAATGTTTTCTCCCAGTTATTGATCTTTTTACTTATATTTTTACATCCTAACACATATGTAACTTGAATATTTAAATAATCAATGACGTGACTGACAAATGGTTTCAAACGATACTTAGAATAATGACTGTCATTAAGGATATCGAATGACAATCTAGATTCTCTGCTCTGGCATGCAATATTTAACAATTCATGATCAACATTTCCAAGGTTTTGTTTTGTCGTTTAGAATAATACAATTTGAAATGAATTCATCTTGTAAATCTCTCCAGAAATAGGTAATTTCTCATCAAATTGATGTATTCTAATGTTGAAATCCATAGTCTCTACTTAAGACCTAGGCCAGTGCTTCTATGGAAGAATATCTCTTACAACACCTAATACCAGTTTCAGTGTTGATGCACTTGAATTAATACCGAATATTCATACCAAAAACCTGAGCCAAATTGCTCACATCATCTCTATTAGCCCTTAAGGTGCAGAAAAGTAGAACGTAAAATTCCATTCATTTCGTTTCAAATTTCTCACTAATTCCTCTACCACTTAACTGATGCCTATAGTATCATGCATTAGTAATAATCCAAACAAATTTTTTCACTAAGAGAAGTTGTTACATGATGATCGTGCTGTAATTGAAAACCATCTCCATTCACCTTGACCATTACAGATTTTGGAGTTTATACTTTGCCCCATTTCAACACACTTTGATGAGTATCAGTTTCTGAATCTTATCAATGATTCATTTGCACACATCCGGTAAAATCTTGATTCTTATTCAAAATTAAATTACAAAAGGAGCTAAATCATAATAATGAAACTGATCACATCCGCCCCTAGATTTAAATTTTAAAGTTATTAAAACAGGGGTTTATAATGATAGCCAGTGTATTTGAACAGTAAAGAGGAACAAATAATACTAGAATATTAATATTCAACATCCGTTTTATCATAACGACCCTTTTATACCTCATTTATCATAAAAAAAATCTTTCAAGGGTCAGGCTATCCCCCTTATAAACCCTTAAATGCAATATCTATTGAATAAAGTCAATGAATAAGGTGGGTGCATGACCTAAATGTGTTTTGATATAAAGGTCACAAGGGCTCTTCCTTTCTTTGTAATATATGGCGCACCCATGTCTTTCTCAAAATTTAAATCAAACACTCTACATTGAAAACTAACAGAGTGTGTAAATATGATAGTGTTTTTAACAAGCTGAGAAAAACTGTTGATGTATTTCATATATCTTTGATTGCAAGCTTTATGCTCTGGTAAACATTCCATTATTTTTTTTAACATATAAATTTACAGTCAAACACAAAAAAAAACATTTTCACAAATACTAACTAAGATAAAAATCCAAATCCAAATTTAAAAAAAAATACACAAATCTGAGTGAATGATGCACTGAATTTTGCAATAAATTCAGCAACAGTCAACATAAAAAGGGGACCAATTTGAACCAATGCTTACTAAGACAAAATCCAAATTAAAAAATTTAATAAAATGATGTAGAAATCTGATTGATACACTCTTATTTCGCAATAGTAAAAAAAACTTCAAGATAATTAAAATGTCACCTTTTCGAAACATAATATTTCAATTAATTTTAAATATAATTCAATTTATATAACAAAGTTCTGCTCTGATTGCATCGAATATGATAAATATCGCATAATTTTTAATAAACTCAAAGCAGAATTGGAAAATTGATTTTGTTCCATAAGCTATAAGTCAATGTGGTTTCACTTCCAACTACTTTTATTTTTTTGACCTACCGGATTTCCTGATCAATACCAAAACATTTTTTGATTCTTTGTTTCACATTTTTTCAAAGCATTGAGGGCTTTAGATCAACTTTCAAGATTATTTCAATTCTTATGAAAATATAAATGGAACAATTGCTGTCCCAAATACTTGTATCTTCCAACAGGGACATATTAGTGATGTTTAAATAACATTATTAGCTGTGTGCACTCTCTGAAGGCAATGTTGTGCTAGCAGGTTTCCAAAACTGTAAGCATA